GACGCACCTTTTCGTCGACTTCGATTATTGGTTTAATGAAATAATGATACTAAAATCTTCTTTTATTGCCCGCGTGGATAATCGTTCGATTAAAAACCGTTTACAGTCGAAAAAATTTCGACGGAAAATGACGTCCACTCCTCTGCGCCAATCAAGGGATAAAACATAGGATCCCACTCAAGGTTGCCGTTTTAAGGCGTGACATTAGAGCGCATCAGTTTCTTGAGGCATGTATTAGCTACGCATTACTCATCGCTTTTAAATCCGAATCCTGCGCACGTAAAAACTTTAGGGTGGCTCAAAGTTGCTAGGACGCACTTGCACTATGCATTGGCATTTCCCACAAAAAATCGATTTCTTTGAACTCAGCTTTTGTCACTTTCAGCGTTATAGTCAATTATTTGCATCAAATATCAAATTGCTGTGTACTGCAATTTCCATGAAAGTAACAAGCCTTATGTTTCAACACTGGTTTCAATGAAACAAATTAACCTTAAACGTAGAAAATACTAAATACATGCCATTTTCCATATATAAAAATATTGCAATATGTTATAGCATTACGATATTACAATATATTACAAGTTCACAATATTACATTATCTATTTGACATAGGTTTAAAAAAAACGTAATAATTTAATCTTAACTCAAAATTGGAAAATTAAACTAAAAAAATATTTATTCAAAATATGTTTTTTGCCTTCTTAAGAACCATTATAACCAACCATAGGAAGCAGTTTATACAATTTTGGTCCTAAATAATTTGTTTGCTTATTATTAATTCGATTGCTTTGAAGGAGAATAACATTTCTGTGAATATTAGTTCCAGTTTGATAGTTATACGTGCTCAAAAGAAACAATGTACAATGTAACGTAATTTTAACTCTAGCATTTTGTTTTACTCAGACGCTGAAGATTAAGAAATGAAGAAATTCTGGTAATATAAAATTTATATATAGATATAATGTTTTTGCCAAATATAAGATATTACTATTCCATCTAAGGCTTTTTTCAACTCCTGCTCCCAAGTATTTTACTAACCAGATGGTTAGTAATTTCCTTAATGAACTCGACTTTTGCATTCCAGTTCGCATACCCTGAGTAAAGCCAAATTGATGACTGTACAATAAATAATTACTACTAAGACATAATCTTTACCCAAGTGCACACCTTAGCATTACCATTAATAATCATTTAAAGAGGGATGGATATACATGTAAAGAATTTAAAAAACAAACTAACGGGACTCCTCTGAAATTTTATATATCTGAAAGTTTTTTTTGAATAAAAGCATTTAAAAATTCTTTACTTTTCTCTAGTACAATGTTAATTAATATACGGAAGTGTAGGTTGTTCTACAGTTTCTGATAATCAGTTAGAGTTTCTAAAAACCCACCGAAAGCGGTTCATTAAAATTATTTCTAACATGAGCAAAACTTATCCAACACATTGTCTTTAAGAAAAAGTCAGCTATTCTGCTTTGAAATCGTAATGCTCGAAATAGAGTTCAAAAATCGATAATCAATACTTTTCTCCTAGTTTTTACAATATGTGTGCCCAAAAATATACGAATTCAAAATAGGATATTAGGAAAAGGTAGGCAAGTTTATAGCAACAAAATTGAGTTCAGATATCCAAAATAAATAAATCCCCAATCTCTATAAGAACCTATTTTTTTCCACTTCAAACCTATCCGACATTTTTAAACCCGATCTGGTGACTTTTAAAAAGCCATAAACGTCACGTAAAAGCATTTAATGCGTCTGTCATTTGTGAACGTTTAATAGAGTTGCACTTCTTTTTATGCTTGCTTAGATTTGTACCTTGTGCTGCAAAACTAGTAGATTTCGAAAAAAAAGCCGAAATAAACAAAACTTCGTGTGCCACGATTGTTTATTTTATCATCATTTTTGAGGGGAAAAAATTATTATCAAACCATGTTCACTTTTTTGCAAGAATTGTCAACCCTGCATGTTTGTTGCAACCTGGAAATTATTAGTTTTTTAAGAACCAGATACTTTGGAGAAACTAAAATGGTTATTGTTAACCACAAAAAGACAAAAGATAAACTAAGTGAAAAAACTTTCTTTGCAGGCCTCGGTTGGTTTTTGGTTTAAGTTTCCCTGGACTGTCTCTCAAAACGGTCCACAGTTATTATTTCCTATTTTCGAGTTTATATTTGACAGCCTTTGTTCCCGGTAGCCGAACTGTTCTCTAAATCGAACCTCAAGGTTGGCAATTTTTATCTGCATGCTTTCTTCTTGCGGGACCGTTTAATTCGCCGATGAGGAATTCCGTAAATGTTTTAATATTAATAGACTTAGGCAGGTTCGTTCACCGCAACTGCACTTGCGGCCACTTTAAATATAAAAGGCACCCGAGACGACGACTTTTTACCGAACGTCAACGTACTGACGGGATGATGCATTTTATGCACATGGCGTACAAGATCATAATGCTAATAAATTATGCCGTAATAACTATGCAATTTGAACATAAAAGAAATACATCATACAGGCGTCGCTAGTAACATTCCAAACGAGCATGCGCGAGCCAATTCAAAACTTCAACCAATAAGAACTCGCGCCTTGTGGCAATCAACATGGCTGCTGACAGTCGATCAATTCCACACTATTTTGTCAAAAATGATTTGGAAAAACGATGTAAGTGTGCAAGGATCACTGTTTAGAAAGAAATTTTCGCGAAGTTCAGGTTAACATGTGAAATTTAGAGACATGTGAAAATGTCATTGAAATTTTACGGTATTTACGGCCCCTATGTTATTAATTTAATGACATTGTGAATTTAACAGTTATGCCTACTTTGCTACCCATATAGGTACGAAAATCGTTTTATTGACGTCGACCTGTAAAAATATCCGTTTCTACTAATATTTTTTAACGGGACTTACATTATGGCATCAAAAATAATTCGTGATTGTCGGATAATCTCATTCCGGCGTTCATTAAAATGCGTTTATGTGGATTATTATCACGGTCTTGTGGGCACAGCCACCGTTGACTTTGCGAATGAACTATAACGCTCGCGGTGAAAGCGTATTGGAAATGGACGAAAATAAAATACTGTGTGAAATATGTCAGCGGCGATTGGAAAGGAGATTTGGGGTCTCGGATGTTCGCAGTAACTCCTGACAAATTGGTGGCGGACTTTTACCGTTTAGTTGTCGATTTCGAAGGATTTACGGCGGAACGTTTTATTTTATTTCGAAGTACTTCACGTTGGGACATGAATTTTACGTTATTAAATAAGAAATATAATAATACGCCTTTATTTGCGCGAAACAGATAGCGATAGACGTAGGAGTTTTATGTTTTCTAGAAAGTAATCTATCATTTACTCTTAGTCCAGTTTGGCGTGAATTATTAACAATCAAATTGATTTTTCACGATCTTACCGAACGAGAAAATCGTTGCTCTATCAGACGTACAATATGCGAATATTTATGATATTTTTTATAACAGTTTCGCTTATAGTAACATTAAAATTGATTTTGCTTGGTTTATTTTTTGTTTCGAATATAACAAGATGGGGTTGTTTTGTGCGTTTTTATTAATTCATTTAAGGACTTGGTACGTCTACATTTTTTTGTCAGTTATATTTTCGAAGGTATTGCAAAAAACTATAAACGAGTATTTCAATTTAATATTTCTAATTAGTATTTGTTCAATGCTTTCTGTCGAGAGTGGTTGTTTTTTAATTAATATTTAATTGACCAATTTTGCGAAGTAATCGTTATTAAGGAGTAATTAACTGTGCTGTGACATAAAAATTACTAGATCATATCGAATGAAATTGGTTTAAGTACTAAAATTATATTAGATAGACTTGACAGCAAAATACAACCACAGCTTTGTTTTATTTTTGTGAGTCCCCGGGTAACCTTGATTCGTTAAAAAAAAAACGGAAAGGGTTTTCGAACCACAGAAAATGTCACATTTTATAGTAGTTTGGTCTGCGTCTCGATTTATTAATCAATTTTATGGGTACATAATATAAAAAATATAAATGCAAATCTAAGTAACTTGAATTATATGTAGATAAATACATAAGCACATTAACCGTGAAGATTTTCCAGACATTTTTAACAAAGACGTGAACTAAACTTTGAGTTTCAAGATTTACGTGACAAACGCTAAAAATTGAAAACTGCACAATTTGACAAATTTTTTGACTAAAAACGAATTTTCTTGTTTTATTAATCAATTTTGTGGGTAAATAACATAAAAAATAATAAATAGAAGAAATAATAAAAGAAGACTTTAAAAATTTTGAAGTTTTACAATTGACAAAGGTGATAATAGATAGAAATTGAATTGTGCAATCTCCTAAATGTAAATTTTTAAAACGAAATCAATGAAGCTTTGAAATGTCACACTGTCGACTAAAAATGACAAATACATTAATTTCAAAATGTAATTTTTGTTAAATACTTTCCCCGTTTGTTGCTTAATTTTTTAAATTTTAAAAATCGGCGTTGTAAAAAAATCTTTTTTTTTTTAAATTAATTAAATCATTATACGCACTAGTTTTTAAATCATTGAACTGAACATAAACTTACCATATTAAAAATAACACATATTAATAAATTTTACGGACAGGACAGGAAGAAATAATATACGTAACTAATTAATCAAGATAATTTTAAAAGTAACCCATAAAAAATTGTGTGTGATTATTACCGTCAATACTTGACATGTGCTACAAAAAAGCTAAAGCAGATTTAGATTTTAAAATTTTTGGCGAAAAAGGACAAATATTCCTATTATTTTTTTAATTAATTTTACTTTCGTTCTCTTTATGGCATATACCACCCAATATTTCAATAGTTATCCTCTTTTTGATTAATATGTTTAAAATATTGCATTAATTCCACGAAAAGTAAAAATGAACATACAAAAAAGCAAAATACTAAATTCATCAATCAAAATGTTAAATCTTTGCCAATTTGACCGCACCCGCAAAAATCACCCTAACTTACCATTTTCCTGGATCAAAAAATGAACTTCGCAAATTGCCAACTAGGAGAACGCGCGTAAAGAAGTCACCCGATGTCAGTGATGGAACACCAGCGATTTATTTAAACATTTATCGGCGGCTTCGTCGGGTTTTAAGCGCTCCCGCGGTCGCGGCCAAACCGCGCGCATGCTCGTAGAAAAACGGCCGCCGCGTATAGCAACAGAGTGTATTCCTGCATTTTATGCAGGAGGACAATGACTTTCGGCAAACCAACCCTCCGAGAGTTTTTTTTCTTTCGGTCGCGTTACAATGGGTTCAGGAAATTGATATCTATAGATTAACGGGGCGCTATAGATGTAACCTCTGGTTAGATTCTTTGGTGTAATTTCCGGAGCCGCCCATGATTCCTGTCGAATGACTTACTTCGATGAGGAAGCGATGTAATCGCGGTTGCGATTCTGAATATGAGCGTTATGTTACAGTTTGAATTGGCAACGCGTCTCTATAAATTTTTCAAATGGGAATCCCGAAATACAATTTTTTTTATACTTTATCTCTGTGTAAGTCCGGAAAATTATTAACTATTGAATATAATAAAAATAAGTTTTTTTTACCACAAGTCTTTTTTCATGCATTCCAAAACATAACAAAAATAACTCGAATATTGTTAAAAATAAAAATTATTCAGATTTGTGCTGTTTGTGTTTTAAAAAAAAGTGTCCGCATTTTCAAAAATTAATCGTCAATTCGAATGTGTTTTTCAAATTTAAAGTTTAATTAAAAATTTAATAATTCCAGTTTAGTGTGGGTTTTACAATAAGTCAGTATTTTCTAAGTAACTGTTAACTCGGCGTAGCTTAAGTGATATTGTTCAATATCATTAGTGTACATTTACATTTTATTTACAAAAGAAAAAACAACGAAAAAGGGTATCCTTAATGTGATAAATCACAGTCTCTAGAATAAAGTTCAAAGTGGAGACTTAAAAGATATATTGAGTTGACTTATATTTCTGTTAGGTCCCATAAGTTTGAAGGAGGATGATATTAACTGAAGACAGTATACACAGTCCTTAACTGCCAAATAAGTTAACACTAGACTCTTCCTTAAAAAGTTTATAACCTAATGCGCATGGCTAAAGAAGAAAGAAAGAAAGTAAAAGGTCAAACATTTTATTGAGGTAAACAAATAACAATAAACAAATGCAATGTATAAAGTATAATAAAAAATAATTAAATAAAAAAATTAATCTTTGGTAGATTTAAAAATTAATTTATCACTATCGCTAACTATTGGCGACCATTTCACGATATAGTGGCAAATATTTTGCAATTTCATTTTATTTACAGAGTCGACTATCCACGAAACGTGTATATTTCTCGCGACTTTCGAACAACTTCGGGACAGATCGCCAACGCAACTTGCGACGTGAAAAACGTATTCCGCTTCTTGTCTATGATCTGCGCCCACCTCAGTTCCACCAAACGCAATAAAATACCTAAAAATTAAACAAATGAAAAATATTATTAAACTACAGAGGTAACAAATTGAAGGAACGCTAACGTATAGTTCGACCAGAGATATACCATTTTACGACATAATCCGCTATTTAACTTATGTTTCTCTTGACGTTCCAGAACCGTACTTCGTGCATACAAATGTTGACGACTTTGTGTAGAGTTTCATAGGTGAAGTTCCTCAATTCTTATTAGTACATGCAGTGAAAAATCCATTCTTACTTTAAAATGTTTATTATAAATATAAATGAAGGAATAAATTTAGCTATAAGAAAAACTTATTCTACATCAAAATAAACACTATCCTCACTGGACGCGCCGCCACATTGATAATTAATTCTCACGACAACACTGTTTGGAGGAATATTGGGAAGCAATTTTTCAGAAAAGCATTTTTTTAAGATGTCTGCTGTCATGGTTTTGTGGTATTCAACATTTGCTTCTTTGGCATCTTTTGCAGAATGCAACAAAGACTTATTTACACAACCAGCTTCAGAACTCGCATGTAGCATGATAATTCGTTTGCCTCGGGCACATCCAACGACCATTTCCTGCTGTTACCATCAGATCATCCTTTCCTGACGAAATCGTCGCTATCAAACCAGGTCTCATCGAAATATATGATGGGGACGATTTTAGCGCGAATTTCTTGGACTCCTCTCAAATATCTTGTCCTCCACTCCGAAATTCTTCTTGATTTCATCAAAACTTATCTCCTATTGATGGTTTTGTAATAAAAACCAATTCTTCACACGAACGCACTCAAAGTCTCTTGGCAATAGTCAATGTTCAAAACATTACGCACCTCTTCATGTAAAGATTTAATATCATCATATATCAACTGTCTCACTATTCCAACATGGTGCATTTCAAATAGAATTTTTGGGACCCCACGAGTTTTCCGCGTTTTTCTTTCTTGGACACCATTCATAACTATATCATGTACTGTGGCATACAGTGTTTTAGTTATCTCGGACGGTAATTTTATGACTCCACTTTTCCCAGATGTTGATTTCAGAAACAGAAACACATTTAAAATTATAATTACGTCATCGACCTCAATCTCAACTTCTTTGTCACTGGAAATCGCAAGTGACTAACAAATCTGAATAATGTTAGTATTTGGTAAGAAATAAATTGTAATAAAATGTATATGGCACCTCAATAAAAATTGCACACAGAGTCTTGAAAAACAATTGAATAATGGTAAGTTGGTAATTACTAATCACAAACGCAAGACGGATTAGAAATAACTAGAAACCATCGACGGCAAAAAAATACTGCGATACTCCGATTTCACCCATCCCCACAAATCAACCAATAGCGAAATGGTAAAACTTCCATTACAAATCATTTATCCACATAAGATTTTACATATCGCTTTCCTAGGAAAACATTTTAGAGTCATTATGTTAAACACTTAAAGTGGAAATCAGTTTAAGCTTTCTAATGTGTTCTTAATATTTGACATCAACCTATCTAATGGGAGAAGATTTATAAAAAGCACACTAATACGAATTAATATAACAGTTTAACCAAAGAAAATTTCGCTACTCTTAAAATACAGCAGTCCAATCATTCCGCACTCAAAACCGTAAAAGGTTGTAAAAACGGTATATCATTAGGTGAACTTTACCTTTTAAATTCGTTATTGTAGTTATCAACGAAAAATCCTTTTATCCCTTTGAACAAATCGGGAAGCGGCTCGTTTATTTTCACTCCCCGGGTTGAACGGTGACCTTCACTCGACTTTGATGTTCGCGATTTTTTTTTGTTCTTTTGTTTTTTAGATGGAGACCCGCGACTAGAACCGATGGATTCGTTGGTTTTGGTGGACGCCCCTGAGTGATTATCTTCATCATCTTCCGAACTCTTTCGCTTCACTCCTTTCATTAACAAAGTCACGTCTGTTTCTTCTTTCGATTTTTTAAACAACGATTTTAGTTCCTCTAAATTGGTCGCCGTTTTCCAATCTTTATCGTCCCTTATTTTCGTAACCCTCGGGAAGCGTATAGAAATACCATCCGCGGTGTGGACGTCGTGCCGAGTGAATTCGGCCCCGGTAATTTCCCACACGGGCATCTCCTTCGGATCTGCGGCGACAAAGTCGGGCACCATGGTTCTGGTACAGCTGAGCCAATCGGGCAGCCTGTCTACGTCGCAACTTATCTTTTGCATTTTCAGCTCGGTTTGCAACTTTTCCAAGGTCTTGTCGTCGTGTCCGCCGTGTACTTTCGTCACTGTGCGAAACGTTTCCGAATATGGATCGTAACAACCCATCAGAAACACCGACATCATCCCTCCTTTTTTACCAGTACCGTACCAAGCCCCGAGAACTATTAAATCTGCACTGTCCGCCATCGCGCCGTCAAACAAATAATCCTTCTTCACTTTTAACCAGTGTCGTTTGCCCGGTTCGTAAGTACTCATCACGTCTTTCAGCACGAGCCCCTCGAGACCCAGTTTCAGCACTTTGGCGATCATTTTCGCCAGAGTATCAGAGTCATTGATCTCCTTCATTTCCGAGAACACAATATGATTCGGCACCTCCGTCATATTGGCGTTGAGAATACTTTTCCGCTCCCTCAGAGGTTCCTTGAGCAAACTACGTCCGTTATAGTAAATGCAATCAAAAACGAACAAACAAACGGTGGCATCCTTAAACTGCGCTTTCTTGTGGATGCCGAGCGTTCCGAAAGGCAACGGTTTGCCAGTGTTTGTATCCATCATCAATATTTCCGCGTCTAGTATCAAGTCGTTGGCGTTCGGAAAGGCTTTTGGTATGTAATCCTTGAAATGGGACACTTTATGAGGCATCACGGGCTTCAGCGATCTGGAAAAGTATCTAAACTCCTTGCCCTGCTTATGAACTTGAACCCTGCAAATTCAAAAAATGTTATACGCTGTGTATACTAAACCAAAAAATCGACTATTTTGTTTTATGAAAAACATACCGATAAAATCATTCAGAATGATGAAAAAAATATGACCCCTTAATATTAATGGTGAGGGAAATATCATTTTTATTTTCGATTTTTTAGTCCTGATCTAATTATTCCATCTTAACAACCAAACAATTGAGATAAAAATATTTATCTGAATATATTGTTGTAGAATATTGAATTCTGTATAAAAAAGGGCTCTGTTTTTTTTTTAACTTTTCATTTTGGAGGTTTGTAACAACAAATGGCTCAATAATTAATCATGAACTTAAACATGAAATTCCTGTTTTTTTTTACCCAATTTACTTTACTTCCTACTGAAAATTATTTATTTACACATAAAATTTTATTATATATATTAACATAGATGAAATCGTATTTATTTATAACTGTCCTCCCTGGGTCTTTCTATTTTTAGAACAAAAAGTGAAAACTCACTAGAGTGGAATAAAAGGGTATAATATATAGGTATATATATAAATCTTCAAGGTCCTTTTTGGAACATTACGGCAAGTGTGTTAGAAGAGGAGAGAGTGATTTCACTCCATATAGCGAATAATAGTAGATACGAATTTGATCTATTAAGTGAAAAAATTTTTTTTGAATCAATTGAAAAAATAACTTACCTTAATGTTACCTTTTTGTAGAGCATTCTCATTAAAAATAAATATTGCTTGTTTTTGTATCTCGCGTTTTGTGTTAGTTAGAAAATTCCAGAATGAAAAAGTTAAATAAAAAAAAAATTAATGTATATGGCTTTTTTTCTTAGGAAGGGCTCTGTAGAAATCAAAAATATCCTCATAATTTTTTTACCTCAATCGTTTAGCTGTTTTGACGCATCAGAACAAACAAAATGCATATACAAATTCCCATTAATACTAAGGGCTGAAACAATCACTATATTTTTTTTCTCAATCTGAATGATTTTGTCAATACATATGGTTCATAAAAGAGAGGATTTTTTGGCCCAGTCTAGTCCTGTGTTTGTATTAATATACCTCTCACCATCATATTTAACTTCGGAGTACATCCCATTCACACATTTCTGCATAGCTTGCTGCACAGATTTGCAAGGCTCTGCTAACATTGGAAAAACTGGGGTCAAGATTTTAATTTCAGCATTCTGAATTTTTTTGCTTCCAAAGCATCTGGCCACGACGTCGTCCAAATCTTTTGAGGCTTTGTATGCCTCGTAGGCGTCTGGGTGGATCCCATCCAAAATGTGTTTTGCACCCGCCCCCATTCTTAAGTCGTGCTTAACAAGCCGAATAATAGTTTTTAAATCGTTGCTTGTAAGTTTTGGAAGAATTTTTTCAAAATGATTTATCTGATCCTCTTCCTTGGTTAGCTTTGATAAATACTCCAGGAAAGTGTCGACATTTTGTACAGTTATTGTACTGTCTTTGGGCGAGTGTTTCCACTTTTTACTATGACTGTAAAAATGGCTTACAGTTTCACTAACATCACCTAGAAATTGGGACAGATTCATAAAAATATTATTTGCTTAGCATTTTATACCCTGCTCCAGGTGCTCCAACATTTCATCCTGATCTTCAAGAAACATTTTACTAAAAAGTTTGATCAATTGTTTGCTCTGCAAATTGTAAATTCTCTTAACACTTTGGGGTAACAACAATCTACACCATATCTCAATATCACCATTGAATCCCTGCTTGTTGGTGCCTTTCTCAAAGAATTTTCTAATAATTTCAGTTTTATCCAAATAGCTGGAATTCTGTGCTACTAACGAGACTATATGTTGAAATGTTTTAAAAAGGTTGTCCCTACTAATATCAGTATTAACTGCGTTCCCCTTGGGAGAATTTCCACTATCTTGCTTTATTTTTGGGGACTTTTTTATCTTTGTTGGGGAAGTATTGTCGGCAATTCCGAAAAATTGCCTTATCTCCTTAATTTTTTTCTGAACTAAGTCTTTATCCTCACTGGATAACGTTTCAAATCCACTGATATCATCTGCGGTTTCTATTCTTTTGGTTGATGCTCTTTGTTTTTTGAATACGTCGAAGAGACAATCCAAATGGTGCCAGCTTTTCATTTTGCCTTCTCCAAACGGGTTGGGAACTATTTTCGCTATCCGAATATCACCTTGCAGACACTTTTGCTTACACTTTTTGCAACCTGCCCTGCCATTTTTTGAAATTTCTATCTGAAATTGTTTGTCATCTTGTTCTGAATCAGACATTGGAAACCGCACGTAGCAATAAAATTAATAAACATAAATACTAAAATAAGAAATTTTGGGGTTAATTCAACTTGACATATACAAATAATTCATATTCCGTGTCCGTTAAAGCTGAAAGCTATACTCACTTCTCAGTGTTCTGTGTACTAGAAAAAAAACAGAAACAATTATAATTATCTATGTCTGACGTATAAATAAGAACTGTTGGTGCCGGTCTGTTACAGTGCTGTCATTAAGCCGACTCGAGTGTAATAATTGGCGAAAATAATTTACCGATAACAATGCTTGCTCCAAAGATATTTTTTTTATTATTTCTGGTGTGTGCTGTGAGTTCTGATAATTTGGTCAGGTATAAATTCTAACCAAAATTTCGAACCTTTTGTTATTACATTGATTGCTGGTTTGTATTTTACAGAATATCCTTATCCAAGCACAAATCTCCAAGACGAACGTTAGAAGAAGTTGGTACCCATCTTCAGCAAGTGAAGTTGCGCTACAAGGAAGGAGATTCTGCACCTGAGCCTCTTTCTAATTATTTAGATGTAAGTTTACTTACATATATCACTTACACGAATTAAAATATAAAAAATGTCGAAACATTTGTTTCCACAGAAACACTTACAGCTTATCACTGTAGTGATTATGGATTTTGATAGTTAACGAGTATTACATCATCTTAAAAGCAACAAAACGTCCATTTATGCTTCTAAAGAGAACTGGGACATTTCATGGGTTGTTTATTATATATTTAAGTTTTCTTTGTCATTGTTTACTAAGTAAAAAATCATGATGCATGTGTTTTGTTGTGGACCAGGCTCAATATTATGGCGTCGTTAGCATTGGCACACCTCCACAAAAGTTTCAAGTTGTTTTCGACACTGGTTCGTCCAATCTTTGGGTACCATCCAAGAAATGCCATATAACAAACATTGCTTGTCGTAAGTAATTTATACTCCATTATCTTTAGTTCCACCGGAATTTGAAATATTTGGCATTTTGTGCGGAAATCCTTTATCTTCCCCCTATGTTTATTTATTAGCTAGCCAAGAGGTTAAAGTTCATTCTCCTTATAAACATTATATTGATAAATATTTAAAAATATATCATCGAAACAAAAGAAGTCTTCCTCACAGTTTATTTAGTTGACTGTCTGATTATTGAAAAAAAAATTGAAGAATAATAAAAAAGAGCTAATAAACTGTTTTTTGTTCGCTGTCTATCGATTCAATAGTTATAAACGCTGACGAAAACTCAATCGAAAGTGATTGTGGTTCGGAACGTTTTGTTTATCTATACATTATTCATTTCTCTCGTATTTTCAAAAAAAATTTGGAATTTGCACTTACTAACTAGGGTATTTGAATGAACAAGAAGTAACAGAAAAACGTCCGTCACTAACATTCTTTCGTTTGGATTTTTAAAATGTATGTATAAGTACTAAAGCTAGACAGAAATAGGTGTAAAGTTTGAGTTCCAGTAACAAACAGCAAGAATTGTAATGATTTTTCATTGCAGTCCTCCACAACAAATATGACTCCAGCAAATCGTCGTCTTACAAGGAAAACGGGACCAATTTCGAAATAGAATATGGTTCCGGCAGTCTCTCTGGATTTTTGTCAACCGACGTAGTGAACGTAAGCTTGACATTTTCACTCTCTAGCGGTGTTGGTTTACTTTTTTCCGTTGTAGGTCGGTGGTATCGACGTGACCGATCAAACTTTCGCCGAGGCCATGAGCGAACCAGGCCTCGCGTTCGTGGCCGCCAAGTTCGACGGTATCCTCGGAATGGCCTATCCTAGGATCTCGGTCGACGGGGTGGTTCCCGTTTTCTACAATATGATGGACCAGGGCAAGATCTCGGCGCCCATTTTCTCTTTCTACCTAAACAGGGATCCTTCGGCAAGCGATGGCGGCGAATTGATTCTGGGAGGTTCGGATCCGAAGTACTACCAAGGCGATTTTACGTACTTGTCTGTAGACCGCGCGGCCTATTGGCAATTTAAAATGGACAGCGTCAATGTTAACGATAAAAAGTTTTGCAGCTCCGGATGCGAGGCGATAGCTGATACCGGTTGGATTTAGGGGTTTGTTTATGGGTTTAGGAATCCCTAGATTGATTAATTTTAGGCACCAGCCTGATCGCGGGACCCACGGAAGAGATCAAAGCTATAAACGAGGCCATCGGCGCCACGCCCATCCTGAACGGCGAATACACCGTCGACTGTAATTCTATCCCCAATCTGCCTAAGATCGATTTCATTCTAGGCGGTAACACGTTTACATTGGAGGGAAAAGACTATATACTCAGAGTAAGTGGTTTATTTTATTCCTTTTTTTTTACGGCGACCTTCGTAACACGTCCTCCATGTTATGCACTCTCATGATTGAAATAGATGTCATAAAAACGACAAAAACGAATTAATACAAGTAATAAGCATAGTAATCAAAATTTAAACGAAAAAGTGAATCTGTCATCAAAGATAGTAAGCCCAGCAAAAACTTTTTGATCTGAAAGTGCCTATACTGGATTCTTTGGCCACCATAATGGTGATTTGATATTCAAACAGTTGTGGAGCTCTCTTCAGAGTGGGTGAATAATACCCAATCGTTTCTAGTATCCTAGTATTCAGTAAAAGGTAATTTAGTATTTAGAAATACTTAAAAATAGTCTGTTCGTCAATTTTTTGGGTCACTCTGCATTGCACTGAACCTTACGACCATAACAAAGAAATCCTACAAAAATTAGTGATCTCTGGTAGTGACGTTAGTTTCATCTCGAGTTTAACTTTTCTTAGTGGTAAGTTCATCTTTCTCTCTATTTGTTTAAGGTGTCTGAATTAGGTCAAACTATATGCCTGTCAGGATTTATGGGCATCGATATTCCTCCGCCAAACGGCCCCCTGTGGATCTTGGGAGACGTTTTTATAGGAAAGTACTACACGGAATTCGATGCGGGCAATAACCGTGTAGGATTCGCCGTCGCAGTTTAAATTTTATATTTTTGCCCTCTTTTCCTTGGTAAAATAGTAAATAATAGTTTGTATAAAATACTCCACCAATAAAGTTGTGATAGTGAGGGAGAGTGTATCATTAGAAATAAAACGAGACTCCCAATATACTCACGAGTATATTCTTCAATATCTAAAAACCTTACACAAATAAATTATAAAGATTCAATTAATCAGTTAAATATTTCTACAATTCAGATAGTAGTTTCAAACTCACGCTACAACTTAATATATTTACAAAATATAAAGTTCCCCTTAAACTAGCCGTTCTCACACTTTCTGAGGTAATGAACTCGAGGAAGTCACCTTTTTGCTGTGAGTTATCTTCTTGACGTACGCTTCAATCAGCTTTCGGATTTTGATCGGATTGATCTCGCCCGACTTGTTGTGGCAAATCTGAAACCGCGAAACTCTATGCCGGCACTGCCTTTATATGACAAAAACTTTACCTTGGGCACGGCTCGTCTCATAATATCCTTGTACTCCTCTTTGTTTATCTTCTTCTTGTTGTAAAACGGTTTCAGGACAAGTTTGACTTCTTCCACCACCCTCTCCTGGCGATTCAGCTTCTTTAAGAACTGCAAATACCCGTCGGGCGATTAGAATTGGGTTGGTTGAATATCAAATAAAATGTACAAATTCTTAGCCCAACTCTAGACCTCTACTAGAATTGGGTTGAGTCGTCTCAAATAAAATTTAAAAGCCCTTAGATCAACTCTAAATCAACTATCAGCTAGAAACAGAAAAAAGCAAGTTTTAATAAAAGAAAGAGAACCTTGGGAACCTTCAAAAGCTTCAATAAACTCACTCAACCTCTACTAGAATTAGGTTGAGTCTCAAATAAAATTAAAAAACCCTTAGACCTACCTTAGACCAACCACGAGCTAGCGACAAAAAAAAACAAGTTTTAGGAGAAGAAAACGAATCTTGGCAACCCGCAAAAGCTTGAAGATTACTCCGTTACCAATGGATTAATTAGATAGTTTCAAACAAAATTTAAGAGTAATTAGAGCTACTCTAGACAAACGATAAGCTAGAAACAGAAAAAAGCAAGTTTTAATAGAAGAAAAAGAATCTTGGCATTCCTCAAAAGCTTCAATTTTCAATATATGCATACAACTCCGTTACTAACTCAATAAATCTCTACTAGCCTCTAAAAGCCTTTAGACTTACTCTAGACCAACGATGAGCTAGAGTTAGAAAAAAGAAAGTTTTAATAGAAGAAAATGAATCTTGGCAATCCTCAAAACCTTGAAGATTACTACGTTATCAACGGACTAATTAGATAGTTTCAAACAAAATTTAAAAGCGCTTAGACCGACTCTAGACCAACGATGAGCTAGAGACAGAAAAAAACAAAAAAAAAGTTTTAATAGAAGAAAAGGAATCTTGTCCACCTTCAAGAGCTTCAAGTTTACATATATGCGTACAACTTTGACTCCGTTACTAACTCAAACCTCTACTAGAATTGGGTTGAGTCGCAAAAGGAAATTTAAAAGCCTCTGGATCTATTCTAGACCAACGAATAGCGAGAAAAAGGCAAGTTCTAAAAGGAAAAGAAACTTGGTAAGCCTCAAAAGTTTGAAGATTACACCGTTACCAAATGGGCCTCTACTAATTAGATAGTCTAAAAGTATTAGGAGAAGAAAAAGTTCCTTGGCAATCCTCAAAAGCTTCGAAATTATTCGTATTTGTACAACTCGCGACTCCGCCATCAACTCGACTACTAACCTTGTCCTTCACCTGCATTTCTACCGCGGAATTGGGAAGTTCCTCCAGTATCTTCAGGCTGTCTTCATCAATTTTAATACCCACGTGTTTCGTTTTCGTAGGAGTAAGCGCGGTTTTCTTGCCGATTTTCTTATCGACCATCTTCTTCTTGTAAGGCGGAGATCCGAACAGGGTGTCGAATACAGATTGATGCTTTTGCGGCGGAGGCTTCGGCTTGGAGGCCGGCTTAACGGATTTCGGAACGGTTTCCGGTGGCGGTTCGAATAGGTCCTCGTAATCGCTCGAAGCGGGCGAATACGGCGAGTCCAGATCTACGGTGCCGCCGTCCTCGATACCCCCGCTCCCGTTGACCGATCTCTTCTTTTTCGCGCCAGTTTTCGATTGCAGCGGTTTAATGGGCGTCGATTTGACGGCCGCTTTCGTCGGCGATATTTTCACCGGACTCGACTTTACCTGATTCGGTAACACGATCCTCTGCGGTATGGCGGAAACGTTGTGCGACGGACCGATCAACGTGGAATTCAAAATGTTTATTCTCTGAGCGGTTATATTGCTCGAGACGGGAGCCGACGTTATTATGGACGACGGCACCGAACTGAACGGCGTCGTCTGAGCCACCGGTTTCGTTATACTGACGGACGTCTGAATTCCCTGCACGATGACGGTGCCGACGAGCCTCTGCTCGGGTGACTTTCTTTCGGGCGTGGTCGGAATGCTGCTCTGGGAATCGGCCGGTTGTATGTCGGCTATCGGTGGCGTCGTGACTTTTTTCATATCCGCCATTTGATCTCCTTTCTCCATATCGATATTGGACCTGCTGTCCATATTGTCCTCCCGGCCGTCGTCTTCCGTAATACTCTGTACGGTTTGCGCCGGTTCGGGGGTGACCGATCGCGATTTCGTAGGCTCGAACGGGTCGTAAGCGTCGGGCGAACTCGGTGGCGAAGTGGGCGGTTCCGGCGGCGTATTCGGTCCTTTATGCATCGTGTTAGCGATCTCCTCCTGGACCTCGTCCTCGAGGTTATCGTCGGGCTCGTGCAACGGGTTGCTGATCGCGCGCAGTTGCGACGTCTTCGACGTCAACGAGAATTTCACCTGGGGCTCGGGCGGCGTCTTGGGCCCGGTAGCGTACACCGGGATCCTCTCCGGACTGGCCACCTGTTGCGACGAGTCGCACGCGTCGTTCCCCAAGTTATTAATCTCAACGTCGTTGTGATCGCTGTCGCTCAACACGATCACGTCTTTCGGCGACGATATGATCTCCTGGAACGGCGAACGTTCAAGGTCTATAATGGCGACGGGTTTGACGCCGGCCAGATCCTTGTTCTTGCTCTTCCTCTTCTCCTTCTTCTTCCTCAGTTCCTCGCTGTCCTTTTTCTTCTTCTCGCGCGTCGTTATGTCTCGCGTTTCGTTTTCGTTATTGAAACTGACGCTGACCAGGATGTTGTCGCCCGAAGCGAACACCTCCTTCGACGGCGGCGGCGTGCGCTCCCTCTCCCTTCTCCTGCGCTTCGCGGAACCGTCCCGTCTCTTCTCCTTGCGCCGTTTCTCCCGTTTATTCTTCGGCGGTCTGCCATTGCCGCTGTTGTTCAAGATCACCGTTAAATTTTGACTTCTCATCGGTTGCGCGGCGTTTTCCAGATCCTTGGGCGGTGTCCAAGACGGCGACGCGTGACGAATCGCCGCCGGCGACGGAGACTTGGAAAACGACGGCGTCCATTCGCGTTGTCGCAACTGGGGCGTGGCCGATCTCGAGTTGGACCTGCGCCTGTTCCGACTGGTCGCCCTCTTTTTGGTACGCCTCGAATCGCGCGTTTTCTTACTCTTGCTCGTCGACCGTCTACGTTTCTTGGATTTCGACTTGTTCCGTTTTCGTGGCTCCGAACGGCTCGCCGACCTCCGGGTTTTCGATTTCCGGGTTTTTTCCGCGCGGCGACCCCTAGAAACCGACCGTCTTCGCGACGAGGATCTTCGTCTTCTCGACGTCTTCTCCGGAGACGCGGAATGTCTCCTCACCGGCGAAACGGATCGTCTTCTGGGCGTCGCGGGCGGCGAAACCGGCTTCTCCCTCGGCGGAGGCGTGTACGACCGGCTCCTCGACTTAGACGGAGAACGGCGAATGTCGCGCCCGAACTTGTCCTTCGGCGGCAGCCGCGGCTTGTCCGCTATGAGCGCCCGGACGTTGTACCGTTCCAACTCCTTCCGCTTCTCCTTCTTCCTCTGCTCGTCTTTGTCCTTTTGCTTCTGCGTCTTCGGACTCTTGCTCCGCGATCTGCCCCGATCCTTGTCCCTGTAGTTCCTCTCCTTGTTGTTCTTGCTAATCTTCTTAAACGACTCCCGGTTCTCGTTCTCCTTGTTGCCCCCCTTCTCCTGATCCCCGCCCGCCGGCTTCTCTTTCGTCTTTTTCCTCTTCTTCCCGCCGTCCTTGTCCTTCTTCGGCGTCTCTTTTTCCGTCACGTTCTCGGCACCGTCATCCTTCTTCGCCTTCTCCTTCGACTTGTCCACGATCTCGCCCTCCTCGTAATCCTCGGGCCGCGTGAACTCGATCTCCGACTCCTTGGCGTTGATTTCCAACGCGTCGCCGTCGGAGATCATCTTCATCTCGCGCGACTCGTCGAACTCGTTCCGCTCGTCCTCCGAAATCATTTCGGTGTCGAGACCGTCGAATCCCGCGTCCTTGTCGTCCCGCTCGTCCCTGCACGGCGTGTAAGTTCGCTCCTCCTCGCTCACGATGTCCTCGGTCATGTCCTTGATGTCGGCGATTTCGAACGCGCCCGACGTTTTCTTCACCACCGACTCGTCTTCCGAGTCGCTGTACAAACCGCTGATTATATTGGAGCTGGTGAAAACTTGCACGGCCGAGTCTGAGGAAATTGGCGCCTTAACGGACGCGTCGATTTGGGTGGATTGCTGCTGCTGCTGGAGCGCGAGATCCGTCGTCAAAGCCACCGACTTGCTCTGTTTCGAGTAAATACTGAAATTGGGACACCCGTCGTTCGACTCGTCGTCATCGTCTTGTTTGGCGGAGTCGCCGGGTTTCTCTTCCGCGCACCCGGGCGGCGCGTCCTGCTCGTCCTTCTGCGCAGAGTTCACGGTCGACGTAACCGCCGTCTCGTCTCTGTGCTGCTCCTCTTGAACTTTTTCCGTGTCGATCACCATGTCCGTCTCGCTTTCCTCGGCCGTAGTGCTGGGCGAATAGGGCACGTTCGATGGGGTGTACGCCCTAGTCGGCGAATAAACCGCGCTGGGCGAATACGTCGAAGCGTTCGGGCTGTACGGCACGTTCGAAGGGGTGTACGGTCTGCCGCCCCCGGACGTTTCGTTCGGCGTCGTCGCCGTCGCCGGTTTACACTCGTCGCTTTTGCTGGTGCTGACCGCCTCGCCTTCGATATCGCTGTAAATGTCGAGGTCGGCGTCGCTCACCGGCGACTTGCTACCGGGCGTGTACCGATCTTTGTCGGCGTCCGCCGCCTCGCAGAGCGTCCTCTGCGTGTAATCCTGGGGGACGTCATTTTCATCGCCGCCGCCGCCTCCATAAGCGCCGGAATTACCGCCGACCGTTTCGGTCGAGTACGACGAATAAGTACCGTGGTACTCTCGGGTACCGGCGGGTTCGTAGCCGCCCGATCCGGACCAATCGGCGTTCGAGTTCGTCTCGTTCCGGCCGTACGACGTCGGCGTCTGCCTCACCGCGTACGAATTATTACCGTTTACGATATTATTATTGTTGCTTTCGCGTTTACGCCGGTCGATCTGCAACTTGCCGCTCGAATCGAGCACCGACATGATCGCGTTCTTCGAGTGGAACCTCTCTTGCGTCTCCATGATGCTGCCCAGCACGTCGTCCGTCGTGCTCGACACGACGACGTCCGCGACGGCGGCGGCTTTCAGTCTGCCGCGGCGACGCGTCGCATCCACCACCGCCCTCCTGCTCAACAATATTCCCCTTTCCACTTCGACGTCGTCGTTTTCGGAATCGCTAAAGTAATCCAATCGGTTCGCGTGGCCGAAAATGTCCAATCGGGCGATGCCGGCTCTGTGCCGAATGTCCGACAAGTTTTCGGGCGCGTTCGGTAAACGTCGGGGCGCGCAAGCGCGCAGCTGATCGACGAGTCTCGTGCGCGTCGACTTCATCGCCTTGTTTCTCTTGTACTTTTTGTATTTTTTCGATCTGACGCGTTTTTTTACGGGGACCGCCTCGCCCGTCACGCTGTCTATCTCATACACCGTCCGATACGTCGGCTTGCGGGCGGAGCGTCGTTTGCGACGTTGCCGCGCGCTCCTCTTTTTCGTTTTTTTCCCGGACGTGCTCGAAACGCGGTCGTCAGCGACGACGCCGGACGACGTCGACGGTTGTTGGTGCTCGTCGTCGTTGGCGGCGGCGGGCGTTTCGTTTCGCCGCCTCCGGGTGCGATTGTTCGCGATACGGCGTCGCACGCGTTCGGTTTGGGTCGTGCGCGGCACCAATCTGTCGATTAAAAAAAAGTTCCCGTTGATTGTCACCCGCGCTCGTTTATACCTTACCTTGCTTAAGCGTAAACGCACAATTAATTATACAATAAACGAATTTAAAATGACGACGCGTCTTTTTTTAGTAAACTCGAGCCCCTAAGAGAAAAAAAATTTCTTCGCAATTTCTTAAATTTCTCTCAATGTCGCCTACGTTTTGGTAAAATTAATACAAAAATACTTATTAAAACATATTTTTTTCTAATCGATGATAACAATGACGTTGCCATTATATATCATAAATTATGGTGGCTATAAGACAATGTGCTAGATTTGAGGGCATAAGAGTCATTTTAAAGCTAGTGTTATTATTGAACGGTTAGCTGGAACAACGATGTTATATTTTTTAAACTCGGCACTACAGCGCCATATCTTAGTTATCCCTTAAAACCTTAAAAGCAATAAACACCAAACATCGCCATTAAAGACATGAAACCATTTCATCAGTTGTTTAAAATAAAAGTTGCATTAAACAAAATGGTCCGAATTAGTATTGGGGCTGGTCACTTGACCATTTCTTAATTGACTAGTCAAATTCGATCAAAACGTTTTAAATAACACCTTGGAATTGTAGAGTGTTATCTATCAATTTTATAATAAATTATGCGTTTGTGATGTCCAATTCGATACTTGGCGATTCGGAGAATCCCAATAAAAATATCATCAATTTAAAAAAAATGAGTGGTCAATTCCCCAAGCCGTAGTGCGAATCATATTGGACAAACTTTAACAGCGTATTCGGCAGACAAAAATGTAAAAAGATTCGGTGTTCAAGACTTTTGTAAATTTTGGTGTCAAAATTATTAGTATTGTCATTAAAAAAAATATGGCGTTCATGAGACTAATTTAAATTAAAAAAAGTGATACGCCAATGGTTTATCGCTGATCAGTTCTAACCATTTCTATAATAAAAAATAAATAAATTCTAAATATTTACATTCGCTTTTATTTACATAACAATTCCAGAAATTATAATACTAACTTAATAATATATATTGTATTATATTATATACTATCTGCCAAGTTTGGATGCAAAATCTAAAAGATTTTTTTAAAACATTTCAAAACTCTGTTTCTCCGAAATTGTAGGATATTAACTTTATATGAACTTTATTTATTTGTATTTGCTGAACACGCTGTTGACATTTCTCCTTTATGTTTCGGACCATCCTGTACTTATGTATAATAAAATGCAGACGATTTGCGTTAAATGAAACTAAAACTCCTAGTTATTTAATTTACGATAAAATGTACCAAAATTACTCAGCGAGTTCGTTCTATGATAAACAAACGCCATCACATTTTGCCGCGACTGTGACCCTATGACCTAAATGGATCCTATGACCTATGGAACTAAATAAAAATGGGATTCTAACTATTTGTTGACCATGAAAATCCACTTGACCTTGAATGGTTGGCCTATTCGTCCTAATTAAAATTAACTTTATGCAAATACCGCATTATTTTCAGAAATGTCATAAATGCCATTTAATGCCATGTCATTAAAAAAATATTGCGATTTTATAACTTCGGGATAGTTGTTTGGGTTCTGAACTGCTGTATGCGGACAATGTATAGCCGCAGTCGATAGAGGTTTTTATTCTTCCATTAAAAAATTACACAATTGGTCGTTTTTTCATGGATTTCTAAATCCCGTTGGACCTAATAATCTTAATAGAAAACTGGAATTATTCGCATATTAAAAAGGAACAATAATTTAAAAAATAAATCATATATTCACAAATTCTTTATCCAGAAAAGCAATCCAATGGGAAAACTTGCAGAAAATTATTTTGCCTTTAAATTCCCTAAGCAATTGTAAATTCTAAAATTAAAATCCAATTCTTAAAATTCATATTAAACTCTCAAAAGCGTTTTTTTTACCATGGTAAGTTTTGTAAATTTTAATGATTTTAAATTTAAATGAAAGTTTTGTAATTTAAATGAAAGTATAGACAGTTGTCATTATTTTCTACTGGTGAATAAACTGAAATAACCTGTTAGGGGTTATCCTCACAATTTTCAGACGTAAAAAATTAAACAGAACAAAATGGAACCAGGAACATCCAAAAATAGTAATAACTTAATTTCCTTCTCTACAAATTATAAAATTGGTGGTCTGATCCAAGCAGATAAAATCTCCAGCGTAAAACATGCTTATCGAACTATCCAAACCCCTACTCAAAAATGTCAAGTGTAAGTTACAAACCTGCACGTTACATCGCTTATTTCACTTATTCTGTATAACAATTTTTTTTTAAGTCCACTAAATAAAATGGTTCCGTCAATTGTCATACCTTATAAATATAAGTAATGATGCCAACTTGTCGCCTTATTCCAGATACGGCTTACCTTTCAAGACTTTTTATTTTTTTTGAGCTTGACAACATCGCCTTCAACTGTCAATGCATGGCGGCATTCTTTGTTAATACATGTGTACTAATGTTCTTTTTTTTTATCAAATTTAATAGTTCTTGTAAGAGTTTCATATAGAATGTGATTTGAAAAACATTTTACGAGTGTTTAGTAAGTAGATCCTGCTATATTTACTTGGATAAAATAGGGGGTAATTGGTAATAATTACAGAATTAAATTTGTTAAAGTTCTTGATCACCTAATTTTCGAAAAATTGTTACTGTTATGTGCACTTCAAAACTTTTGAGGCAAACCTAATTTTTGCTTAGTTTGTGGTAATCAATATGGCGTAGAGGCGGCTTAAGAAATCGAGGAACAAATGTCATCGTTGGGTAGACTGACAAGAACGGTTTGCGATTTTACTTTTCAAATTAAAGAGAAGTACTTGTTTCTTTAACCTTTCACAGGACAAACTATGGACAATATAATGCAACGGAACAATTTATAGATCTAGATTTTTAAAATTAAGATAAAGAAACCACCTAATGTAATGTTTTTTTATGTCGACTTGGTTATATTGCTTTAATTTGGGATTGTTGTGACTGTTGATTTTTTATTTCTTGTTTCTAAGTATTATGTAAACTGCCTAGTGGGTCAATAAACAGCTATCTCTCCATAAGTGTGTGAAGTTAAAGTACCCAGAGTAGGGATGAATCATATTTTGGAAACAACTTTTGAGCATTAAAATTTGCAATTGAAAACGATAATTTTATTCATGGTTTATTAACTCAAAGTGTACATTTACTAAATGAAAGTAAAACCACTCCCAGTAGTCACAAATGAATAACAAATTATATTAACAACTAGTTTTTTAGTGTAACTTAAAAAAAAAATCCAGACAGAACACTTTGTTTTGTAATTTAGTAATCTGGGTCTGGGAACAGGTCCATTTTCTAAGTTGGCCGATATCCTGCACGTCTCCTAATGCAAACCAAAATTCTATAAATACCTATAAATATGTAGTAAAATACCCATTTTCACATGAGATCAAACATGAAACTTGCTTACATGGAAAAAAAAAACACTAACTGAAATTTTGCTGTACTCTTCCAATAATACTAATGCTTTTTCATTTATTACTAAAAAATAATTGCTGCAACTTTCTAGTAAAATGGCCACCCAAACAGTTTAAAAAAACAATTTTTTGCTCTTTCAATTTTTTCTTAAAGATGTTACTGATTAAACACATTGCTGGAGTACTCCTACAACCAGAAAGAACTGCAGAGGAGCAAAAAAAAAATTCAATTCAATTCATATAAAAAAAGGAATTTAATAAATCAACCTGATATTTTGTAATGTTAAAAAAAACACTCAGGTTACAAAATTAATAAGAGGGAGATAGGGATATGGAATTTTTGATTCACCTCAATGATCTGAGTCTCTGACTGGTATTCCACCCATCCCTGTTTAGCATCATTTCAGCATCATCCCACAGCCCAATGACCTCATCCGGATCGATGTCTGACAATGGTCGATCCAATGTTATGCAGTCATTGCAATACCAGATCCCCTCTGGAACATCCGTTAGAGCTGGGGTCAGGCAATATAAATGAAAACCAAGATCGCAACCTAGATGAAAAATTGCTGATGCTGGTTGTTTAAAAAGGTGTAGAAAACTCACCATCACAAAGGAGCAAACGATCTTCGTTATCATCAGATCCACAGATCTCACAAAATGTTGGATCTTCAACAATATCCATTACACTTTGGTTTTGTGGTTTTTCTACATCAATTTTTCTTAAAATGTTTCCATTAATATTTCTTTTTACTGATATTGATGTGTATTCTTGTCTATCAACAGGGCAAGTGTTCATATTTTTTGACCACTCTTGTATACACTCGAGGCAGAACATGTGTTCACAGTTTTCTGGGACACCCACCTCTTGGTTCCTGAACGATATGAGGCAAATTGGGCATTTTTCAGACTGCCCATCACTTGAGTCTGAGTCAAGACTCTTTTCTTCCTTAACAGACAAGACTGCTTTTTGAGAATCGGTTCTTTCATTGTTAACTTCTGAAGAGTCAGAATCCCATTGGAAACTGGAATTTTCACTACCGGAATCTGTAAGTGGAGCTGTGCTTTTAACCTTACGGAAAAGCGTGGATCCAGAGCTACTTGATCCATCGCTATCACTTGTCACTCTCTGTAAAAAAAGATACCTTAAGAACTGGGTACTAAACATACAACACATTTTGCATTCATTCAGAGAGAATAAACAAAGGACAACTTTATATTCAAAGTGATTAAAAAATCAACGACTAAAGACATGAACAAACATAAACATACAGCAAGTTTTTTCCTTCTAACCAGTAAGATGGAGTTATCACTGTCCGAATCAGATGACTCTTCTTGTAGAACAAGAACACGTCGTCGTCTACCACCCGACGAAGACCCAAAAACGGGACTACCGCTAGATGTACTAGCCGGGCTATCATCAACAACTCGTCGTACTTTTCTTTTTCTCTGACGAGAATTTTCTTGGCTGTCGTCGCTACTCATTTTCCGCATTAAACATTCACAGGCAATTTGACGTTAATAAAAAAATCAAAAAAGAGACATCACTTTTGAAGTACGCTTAAAGTTTTAATGGTTCCGACATTAATTATTCTCTCAAAAATATTTGACATTCTAAAACGCTACGCTGAGGCCAATCGCTTTCTGCTTAACTTTTGACGTTCACGGAAGCCATATCGATCGTAGCGCGAATCGTAGTTAAGTTCGTAGACGAGTTAGCCTACATTAGCCGTTTGAATTTTGAAGAGGTCTTGTCTTACTATTACATTTTATCGTTTTTTGGATCTTGAAAGCCGAATACGATAAAAAAATTTCAAACCAAATTGATCTAATAACTAATCGACTGTGACACGTGGAATGGCCAAATACGAAAAATTGGTGTTTATTATGAGGCGAATGACGTCGACAATCATCACAGTAACATGAATGTTATAAACGAAGAATACCGTGGGATGACATCTAACATTTGCATGTTACAATAAATAATAAACTATTACATAATAATAAAAATAACAGAACAATTATTTGCCAATGACGTTTTACCTAGTTGAGGCATAGAAAAAGTCGTTATAATAGAATGATACCTACCAGTCCGTTTACTAACACCACTTCAAAAGACCAATTTTGGTTCTGTCAAAGTTCTTTCATATTTTATTTCCTGGTGAAGTCGATTTCGATTCCCAAGTTTTTCAACAAACTCGCAAAATGGGTCGAATGCATGCCCCTGGGTGAGTGCGAATTCGATTAAAAATAAGATAATTTCCTCTTAAACAAACGAAACAGCAATTTATCTTATTAAATTTATGATTGTCAATCATGGTTATTTTACCGCGTGGTTAGTTCTTGCTGTTGATAAATAGGTACTATTTTTATTTCAGCAAAGGTATAGCCCAATCGGCTTTACCGTATAGACGAAGTGTTCCTACATGGTTAAAAGTGACCCCAGAGGAGGTAAAGGAGCAAATAGTTAAATGGGGTAAAAAGGGTCTCACTCCCTCCCAGATCGGTAAACAATCTGACATTTCTAAGAGTGCTAATTAACAAAAAGTCTCATTTTGTAGGTGTTATCCTAAGGGATTCTCATGGCGTTGCGCAAGTGAGGTTTGTTACTGGCAACAAAATCTTGCGTATTATGAAAGCTGTAGGTCTAGCACCCGACTTACCTGAAGATTTGTATTATTTGATCAAGAAAGCCGTTGCCATTCGCAAGCATTTGGAACGCAACAGAAAAGACAAGGACAGCAAGTTTCGCTTAATTTTAGTGGAATCCCGTATCCACCGTTTGGCCAGATACTATAAAACCAAAAATGTACTGGCACCCAACTGGAAATATGAATCAAGTACAGCATCTGCCTTGGTGTCTTAATTTAGAACTGTAACAATTTTTTAAAATATTAAAAATAAATATAAAGATGCCGACTTCTTATTTTTGCTGAAAATTATCAACAAAATGTATGACATATTACCATATGGCACGTTTCTTTAAATTATTTTATAAAACTTCATTTGGGCATACCTTTTTTGTATTACTAACCTATTTTATTTAGGAATATTGAATTAGATTCTCTTCACATTTCACTGCGAGAGTTCAAACATTTTTTGGTAAAAAAATGTCATTTAAATTAAAAAAGGTACCTATCCTACATTAGTCTTAACCAGATGCCTACTAGAGATATGAAGTTCTGGCAACTCCGATAATTCAAAAACAAGGTTGATTCTCACTATATATTCCATTTCCGTTTCATAACCATTACATCAACGTTCCAGTAAATTCGGTAGTATGCATACTTCTCCATTCCTAGTCAGTTTACTGATGTAAATCAATAGTGTGTCTTTATGCTGATATAAAAATTAGCTTAAAATGTGTGTTAATTGTAGCCGCTATTATACTGGATGAGGAAACTCACTCGAAAAAAACAAAATGATGATTTTGGGTACATGACATGTTAAAAAAAAAGAAATGTTGAAGGAGAATACATTATGTTATATAAGGAACTCCTAGATGATGAAACCAAAAAAATACCAAATTTAGAAAATCAATATCAGCGAAACATAAACTGTGCGTCTGTTTAAGGTAAGTAGTCTATTTTTTAAGAACAAAGTTGAAATATATAACAAACAAAAGTGGTTTTAAACATGAGAACTTAATTGTTGTCACATTGTCCTTCATTATACGAAAATGTTGCTAGGTATGAAGAAGCAGTAGAGGGCGAAGGGGAACACACATATGTAAGCTGATTAGGGGGAACGTCATTTGAGAAATTGTTGTTATTACGATATTGCTATTGGGGATGTCCTTGTGGCCGACCCTGCATTTGTAAAAGATGTTCTAATTCCAGTTCTTGTCAGCAATACTTTCACAAAAGATTTCTGTTGGGTCTCTTCCTGCAGAGCGACCAGTTTCTTCTCTTTTTTGTTTTTGAATAAGGTATTTCATTAAATGTGAACTAGCACGTTCATCTTTTTTTAGTTTCGATAAGTGTTTTATATTTGAAGAAAATCTCTGCTTTTTGAGTGTAGGGATAAATTAGGTTGCAGTAACAGGTGTCCTTTTAGCTTCTGTGGTATTTTATTGGATCTCAGTAGCAGCAGTATTGTCCTGTTAAGATTTTTTGAAAAACATAAAGGGCCGTATTTTGCCAAACAAGTACAATTAGCTTCTCGTCTGTTAAAAATACGTTTCGAATGATATTACACGTAAAGGATTCGAAAAGGAGTGTATATGAAACGGAAAATATGTATACACACATTTACATTACATTCAATAATATTTTATGTAAAAGGAAAGAAAGCGTTACGGAACGGAAACAGAGAAAATCATCCTTTCGAATGCACTAATGAAAAACTAAACATGCGCATGCGCGAGATTTTAAATTTCGTTTTTAACCAATGACATTGTGGCATTCAACAACCAACATGGGTGCTAACAGGCCGTCATCTTTACGGAAGTATTTTCTGAAAATATGCCTAGATTTCGTTAGTTAAGTGTGTGGAAACTACCGTTCAAAAATAAAATGACGCAAAGTGCAGGTTAGTGGGTGATATGTAAAAGCATGTCTGTGGCGCATCAATCAAGTTAGACGGGCCCCTGCATTATCTACTAGCTATATGCATTCAACAAACGCCTAAGATAAAGTAAAACATCAGTTGTGATTTTTTATTTTTAAATTTTCGGGTATCTCATAGTTACATTTTTTCAAAGTCCTAACTAACATTCTTTGCAAATTAGGTTTCACCAAGTGTTCCTCCGATATCGATTCGAAAAATGACAAGGCTGCGTGACCATCATTATTTAAACCTAAAAGAGAAAGAAATATAATCTGCAGCGGTCCATAAAATGAGATGCCGCACCATATACATCGATGACACATCCATAAACAAAGTCGACATTAAAAACATGACCTGGAAATCTGTCCCGAATTTTACTTAATGCCAACAGAGGTTCCACTCGTCTTTCTTGAACCCATCTTACACACTGTTTTTCGAGCAGATGTCTAATGCCCGTCCTTGTTTCCTGAAAGTATTCGGTTACGAATTTTTAACTTGTATTCATTAAGTAAGTGGGGGAGTGGGGTTTTTCCATTATTTACCTACAAGCAGAACCCTACGAAACTTGAAGGGTATTGGTGAAAAAGTGTGCGTTCTAGAGATTCAAAAATTATATACAGAAAGACTTATGTTTAATACGGCTGCGCATGAGCAGGGATACTCTCGGACAAACTTACTTGTCTATCATAATATAAGGATTTTTTGGATCGAGTTTACAGTTACACACGAAACAGCGTCTAATAAAAGGTATTGTCACAAATATCAAGTCGCTAAAAGAAACTCACAAAAATATTCACAGCACCTAAGCTCAGAACAACCAACAGACAGAAGCGACAAAAAGAGACAAATACTTATTGTATTGTTACTTGTCTCTCAATTTTTTTTATCAAATTCAATTTATAAAATTCCAAATCGCTAAAAGAAACTCACGGATGTAAACAAAAATAACGGCGCCTACGCTCAGAATAACCCGACAGAGAGAAGCAAGAAAAAAGGTCAAATAGTTATTGTATTTTTACTTGCCTATCATAATACAAGCATTTTTGGATAAAATTTACAGTTACATACGAAACAGCCTCTGATGAAAGATATTTCTACAAATATAAAATTTTAAATTGCTAAAAGAAACTCAGCGATGTAAACAAAAATACTCACGGCGCCTAAGCTCAGAATAAACCAAGAGAAAGAAGCGACAAAAAGAGCCGAATAGTTTTTCTATTGTTACTTGTCTGTCATAATATAAGAATTTTTTTATCAAATTTCAAATCGCTAAAGAAAACTCACAGATGTAAACAAATAGAGTCACAGCACCTAAGCTCAGAACAACTCAACAGACAGAAGCGGTAAAAGGAGCCAAATAGTTATGTTTATGTATAACAAATATCTCACGTCCCGTTTCAAGTACGTAACGTTGGTCCCCCAATGTACACTGAGAAAAGTGTGTTGGATTCTACACTGAGAAAATGTTTATTAAAAAACAAAAACTTTGAACTACGTTTTCTTTTAAGTTTTTTTTTTAAGAAAAACAAACAAAATAAACGACGAAGCAAAAAGGACCAACTAGTTAACACTCGATATCGGCGACAAAACACATACACAAAGAACTGCGTGCTGGCTAACAAAGCAGCCTCCGGCCAGATTGTAGAAAACATAAAAATATTATTTCTAATGTAGACGCTTACTCAAATAAACCTGTGTTGTTTTAATTCAAGAGTGCTAGCATTATCATTAAAAGTTCCGCGCACGTGCGTATCATACCAGCCAGATTTCTTTCCTCTCTACGTCAGGTGTCTATCTAGTAGCCTTCTAACAGAATATTAATTGTATATAAATATTAAAGAATGTCATTTGTCAACTGTCAACCGGCTGACATCGCAATTTCACCTACTTCAAGTCCTAGAAGCTCGTAAAAAAAATGTGACAAAATAAACTGGAAAATCATATTTGCTGTTAATTATTATTATTTGATTGACAGAGTAAAGAATGTTCGAATATGGCATCATTCCACTTTTTTCAATGGAACAAAATAATTTATATTCTACAAATTAACCCAAAAGGGTAAATATTCTTCTCCGGTTTGCATTCGAAGGGAACGCTTACAATCAACGCTTTTCGCAAGGGTTTCATTTGTCCATTTTCTGCAAGCGCGGCGATCAGACCCACGTGGGCGGCTGCTCCACCATGCACCTTCTCCGTAATTGACATAACCTTTTCGAGCAAATCAAAGTTTTCCGTTCGAGCGAGCGCCGAGATAAGTTCCCTTTGCAATGGGGTGCATTTATATTTTGTCGACAATTCTACATACCTCTCAACCGCTTTGTCCAAATTACCCCTAAAAACGAGAATTATAGAAACGCAAAACAAAAATACTCCCGCGCTAACTTATTTAAATGTATCCTTACAAGGGGTCCCAATAATACGTTTGTTCCTTTACAGAGGTTCGCTTTTAGCAGGAAATCGAACATCGCGGTCTGTTCGTTTTCCACTTTGCAGGAATTCAACAGTCGCAAACAATTTCGAACCGTCTCTCGGGAGTCGACTCTTTGACTGAAACGGGCACCTGGTTAAAGCTTCCTGCAGACTCGCACGTTACGCCCAACAATAAAAAGCGGCAAATCGAAAGTGGAGGACTAAGTAAATCCGAACTAGCAATTACTAGTATTTGTACTATAGCAGGCTGTTTTAAGGGTACAAATTATCTACAATATGATCCCACCGAGTTATATAAACAACAAATCAAAACTGTAATCATGAATCCTCAACCTATAAAATCATATTCTTTAAACAAATTACACAATAAATTCTTAATAGGGATTAATAAAAATGTTAGAATATCATATTAATTTAAACCTAGATATGTTATCAATTAATTCTTATCAAAAATTTGTTCCAACCAATTGGCAATCTAGTTTCATTTTCTATGACTTAATGACTAATTGGATTTAAATGCGTCTCCGTTGTTAAATTTAAATTTATAACCCTACACCGGTAATTTAAAATCTATATTATATTTATATCATATCATTTATATCATATTTTGTATTTGATAAAGTTACGCTGCTGCCGAAACAACAAAAACAGACAAATTGTCTAACGATGGTCTAAAATCTCAAATGACAGAAAAGGGATTTAAATATAAACTTAACATTAAAAAATATATATAAAACGTTAATTATTCGACTACATAGTAATAACATACAATGAGATTTGGTTCACTGGAAATTTTTCAGTTGGGTCAATATTTTCACATTTTTGGATGCTGGAGACAATTTTAGATCAGAATTCAAAATATTAAGAATTATGGTTATCCACGGCATCCTTAACAAAAGTATTATTATATTATATTATTAACCAAGGTCTAACTTGGTAAAATTTTTAATATAATCCCATATAAATTAGTATCGTTATTATCGATATTAGTTTGTGACCTATCATCCAATCTTAAAAGTGGCCCCACAAAGGTATGCGTAATAGTTATTTGCCATTGGGTTATTTTGTTTATTGTTAGGCGTAATGTCCAGGTCCGTATCAAGTTTAAGAGTGAACTGAAGCACAAACCAATTACAATTTTTCAACTTCGTTTTGCAACAGGCCCATGGCTTCGTCGAATCTCCCGTGTTCCACCAAAAGCTGCGCCATGTCGATACATTTGAAGCTATCGAAAGCGAAATCCGGATGGGCGACTTTAATATCGTTGTAAAGGGTAAGGGCTTCTTCCAAGTTCCCGGCCAGTACGAAACTATGCATCACTAAAGATTTTATACCTGGGGATTCGACGTAACCGGCGTCTAAAAACTGCCGTCTCAATTCCGCCATCCTCTTCAGGTTGCCTTGCCTGGCATGGAAATGAATTAATTTTCTGAGCACTCCCCGCGTGTCCATGTTTTTTTCCCGTAACTCGACCAAGTGACACTCCAAGTCGTGCAATCCCATATTACGCTGGATATAAAGTATAGTTTTACATATTCCATTCGATTTCCATTAATTCTCTTTCGAAATAAAAATTAATTTTTTGCAATTTTAAAGCATTTAGAAGTTCTATTTTAGCTCTATAATTTAGCAGCGAACTGGCACGCACATACATCGTACCAGTTGCACTAAGAACTTTAGAGCAGCAGAAATAAAGTACCGACAGTTCCCAGCGATCCTATGAGTCAAGATCAAACGTTAAAATTCTCGGCTATTTGGAATTTTGATGAAAACGGTAAGTTTTATCAAAATCTAACCTGAATTGTAGATCATAAAAAATTTTTCTACAAAAATGATGTAAACACTTCTTTCCTAGCACTTAATGTTTCTAAAATATCGCGATTTTAAAAGTTGAATATAATTCTACATTATATACACACTTATCCCAGCTATATAAATACACGCATCACGCGCTTAATATAAGGATTAATGCATATTTCGCGTCTCTTATATACATCAACTAAATAATTCTGAGAATATACTCTCAAAAGAATGGGAGTCTATAATTCAGTCCCATGTCCTATTGATCAATGCCAATCAATACATATAGTTATTAATAGTTGCTACCATTACAGTTTGTACGGATTAACATTTTGTTTCGCAAGCTGGTCACTACGCGGCTTTGTATTTTAAAGAAGTCGCTTCGACCTCTTCTCCTTGAAGAGATTTTTGTTCTTCTATCGTGCTCCTGCGGAACACTATGGAACTTACTCAATTTGTATTGTGCATGCACCCTATATAAAAAACCATGCAAATAAGCACTCGACAGAGCTTTAAATTTATGTTTAACTTTGGTAAATATAAAAATTAATATCAGAAATAGTGATCTGCAACGATAGTTTCTCAAACATATCCCGCAACCTGTACAAAAACTGTAAATACGAAAATTATCGCTCTCGATATAGTTTATAATACTTCACGCATAACAATTTATCCACGAAAACGGCATTTTTTAGTATTTATTAATATATTCCCCATAACCGATACACCCTGTACATTAACGAAAGAATGCCCGAAGTAAAGTTTATAGCACTGAATATCCCACATTTCCCAATCCACGATGTTTTTCAAAAGGAATTAATTTTTTCTGGAACTATAAAGTCCATTCTATATCTTACCATTTTTTTTTAATAATATCGTACGTGCCCTAAAGGATAGATGAAAACTGCAAACACGAAAATTGTAGCCCTTGACACGGCCTATAAAACCATGTAAACAAAAAAGTTAAATTTTTATAGATTCTTATTTCCGGCTGATTATGTACCACTAAAAAACGCAACTTTCGCGGCTTTTAAATATTTTGTCCCCAACCGAAATCCCTTGTAAATTATCGAGAAAATATTTTTTTTTTTGGAAGCTAAAGTCAAATCTGAAATTTTGGGCAATTATTATTATTATTTCTTAAAATAACACATAAAATTCTGAACGCCCCGTATTTCATGAGAGAACTTTCAATATAAAAATTTTAGATCTTTCCAATTCCAAAAAACATTATGAGGACCATTTTTGTAGATAATTTAACGATCTACAATTTATATCCCTAATATAACCCTAAATATTGACTTTTGACTTTGAACAACTTTTTTAGCACACATCTTTACCTATACTGGGGTACCCACAGTCTCCACTAAAATTCAGCGTTATCAGTATTTTTGTCTTTTGATTTCTACACAATTAGACAATTATATTATACAGAGGTCTACAGAGACCTCTCAGTCTCTGTTGAACTTACAGGATGTGGAATTGAAGTATGTTGATCATTGCAATTCATGGTAATGTCTAATAACGTGTTGATATCATTTCGAATGGTCGTCTGAATTTTTTCGTCCACGCACTGCAAAAGTTGGACCACCTCGTCGGCGGAAGCGAAGCTAATTTTCCACGGCTTAGAAGCCATGACCTAAAAGCACATATTTTTGCATTTTTTCGTTTTTTTTAAAACATAATCACTTATTCTTTATTCTCACTTTAATAAGTCGACTGAATTTTGTGAAATCCTCGGTCCTTTTGCAGGTTTTTAACGAGCTAACCAAAAAATTCCCGACGATATCGCTATCGACTCTGTTTGTCTCGTAATACTTTTGCAGAATATTCGCCACCGATTCGTCGTCCGACGCATTATTCCAAACCACGGGCAAGAGATCAAGAATTTCAAGGGCGAAACTGCTGGTGCCATACTTAGAACCTGCAACCACCACCTCTCTTTTCAAAATCTCAACGACAACTAAAGAACAAGGACGGACAGTCTTCGTTTTTTCCGTGGGGTAAACCGCGATCAAGAATCTGTATACTAATTCCTATTAATTACTCCAATTCCCTTAGTGATGTCACTAACACCAACTCATTCAAAATCAAAATCAAAATTTATTAAAAATATGAAAATACTCAAAATTCGTCACGTGTTTTTAGTGTTATAGTGTTTTTTAAACAAATACAAACACATAATAATATAACAAAAAAACACTAATATTTTAGCATATAGCTTTACGGATATAAATTCGGTTAGATTAAGAAATAACAATTAAACGAAAAATTAAAACTTTGTTATTAGGAAGAACAATAAACATATATTAAGTCATCGAAATAATTCAAATAAATTGAAATTGTTATAACAAGTGCACGACAATTATATTATTTTGTTCTAAATGCCTAAATTTTATATTGCCACCAAATAATCAAACCAACAATATGTAGACACATATTTTTTCTCACATGGATGAAAACTGTAATCTTGGGTTGTAATAAGTGCCGTTTAGTTTAGTACGTAGACCATACCTAGAATTGCAATCTTTCCAAAAGCATTTTCGAATAAGCATATAGTCACATTAGGTAACCATGTAGTACACTTTGTGGTAAATTTGAATCTAAAAAGTGTTTTTAACTAATTCCTAGACTAATAACTCCATTTCCTTATCTAATGCAACTAATACTATTGGTACTAATTCCTTGATTAATACTAGCAATACCTCGGCTAATATCACTACTATTACAACTAATTCCCGAGATTTGTTCATCAAAATTCACCCCGGGGGTTTGCACCATTAGCGGTTAAATCATACTTTTTCTTTCCTGTCCTATACGTTCCACCTCTTTTTCAACAACAATCTGCAGGCAATAATATAACAACAAAAAATGATATTTTCTGTTTTTTTTTTCCATCTTTCACATTTTTTATCTTTAAAACGTAATATAATAAAATTGAAATAAAGACGAAGAATAAGGCTAAAGACACCAAAATATTAATAAGTGAAGTAAAAAAAAAACATGACAATGTATGTTGGCATGTATGCAGTGCATAGAGTAGAAACCAATGAAAAAATAAATACATTTATATAAAAAAACTAAAAACAACAATGGTCAAAAACCCAATGAAACACGTTCACGTGGCGACTCTTATACGAGGTAGGGTACATATGACTGTCCTTACTTGTTCTTTAATTATTATTTGATGCCTAAACATACACAAATATGAAGCTTTCTTTATCCGGTTACGTTTAAGGAGATATATCATCAGGGGACTGAGCAATTCCCTCACAGAAATATTTTCAGTTTTTAGAGTCGCGATCAGGGAGTCCACGTTACCCAAGTCACAGAAAGGGAAAACGTAGTCCTCGAACGTTTCCAAATCCGGTTTCACCTTAAAATTGTTCATTTTTTTCAAAACGGAAAACACTCCTGCAAAACACGCGGTTCATATTTGTGATGGAATAAACTACATGCCCACCGATTTCGCCCGAACTTTGGCCGGCCATAACTAACAAAGGCCAAAAATAATGGCACTTTAGATTAAGGGTTTCTAGCAAAGCCCAAGCTTGCTTTTCCAGACCGCGCCTCAAACAAAATTCTGTTAAGTTCTCTAACACGAAGTCGTTTAAGTTTTCTTCTCTCAAATTTTTTGCTAATGCGATGACCACACTTGCGTTCTAAAATTTATTAACTGACCAGATGATAAACATTCATACTGTGCACTTACAGAGTTGGATACTAACATTTCCTGCAAAAGGGTCTCTCCATAATGCCCCGTGGATTTTTGAGAAATAAAACGCTTATATATGAGCATTGCAGATCTAGGTCGATTCATATAAATAAGACGAACGCACAGATCTTCTAGTTCATTTTCTAAGACACGTGTAAAATCAATGTGCTTATACAAGTGTTCTATCTAAAATATTTATTCTTATGTATTATGATTGCCATAGGTAAATTTTAATTTTATTAACCTCAGTTAATAGAGAATCATTGTCACACAGTGCCAAGTACTCAACTAACAATAAAAACTCTTCCACCTTCAATCTCACTGGATATTTTAACACTGCGGTTTTAAAATCTGCATAGCTACATCTTTTCAAAAGTCCTCTGTAAATGGCTAATATGGTCGCATTGGTTTCGGATATATGAGCTGCCCTCATTGTAACCAAAACTGATTCCGCCATAGGTATACCCCTAAATAATATTTATGATATGAACTAAAGTACAGGCAATCATCCAAATTTTTTGTTATACTCACCCACTAATTGTGTGGACTAAAACTAAGTTATTAAATATGTCCTCGACAATGGGGACTTGCTTTGTTTTCATTAGTTCCAACAGCGTTAGGGCTTCTTCTAAACTGCCATGTTCACAAACATTTTCAAATAGCAATTTGTAAGTTTCCACATGCGGATCCAAATGTAATGAGGCCAGAAATAATCGATAATTAAGTGGTATGAAATTCTTGTTGCATAGTTTCAGATAAGCGTGCACAATGTCTAAGTTGGGATTCGACCATTCTAGCAATTTTTTGCAAACTTGGGAAGAAATTTGTTTTCTTTCTGCTAGAGAGGATTTTAAAAACGCTTTTTTACATTGTTCCACAAAAGTAAAATTATTTACTTCAGACACCCCTACGAAACATCTATATTTTTTAAACATATTAGATATCACAAATGGGTAATTACCCAAACTGATATTGCCAAGAAAACGTCCAATTTTTGTTTTTTCTTCGTTGATATTATTTATCGAATTATTAGATGGATTGGTTACTTCGTTAACTCCGCTACTCGAATTATGGAAAACTCTAAATTTGAGAACGAACGTAATTAAATAAATTTTAAGCTTGGATGGATGTATTACCTACCTTACCCGACTAGAAGAAATTCGTTGGGAACAATAAACATTATTTTTAATTGTGATGGTACACAGTATTTTTCCATGGTTTTGCATCCTATATTGCTTTTGCCTCGACAAGACTAAAACATTTTTTATACTTGGTTTTATGAGGTTATGAAAAGAAAATTACAAAGGTTATGTCTAGGTTTCCATATATTTAACATTGGTCAAAATTGAAAGTCTGCGGATTCTGTCGTGAGCATTGCACACAAACCACCGTTCGCTCCCCAAATTTCGAAATCGGTTTCCACTGAGTGGATTTAGTCTTTTGTTGGGGAGCGGGGGAGGAGGGCTTTTGCAATCGGTTAAAGACTTTTGGATAGTGTTTCAATTGTTGTTTCCGTTCCCTTCGGGGGGTGATAGATCCGTTCAGTCCCTTTTCAGTAAGCTACCCTCCAGGTTATAAAATAAATGATGAACCATAATCGTAAGTGGCTGAGTGATCATAGTAATCTTGACCACTAGAAGTAACGCAGAAAGAGAGAGAGAAATAGCCCGCTGGGTGAATGGCCAACGTATCCCTGAATAACGGAAAACCTTACCGAAATCATACTGCAACCAAAAAATTTTGGATTATTTTCAAAGTTTTTAACAACAGCGAAAATGAAAAGACTTAACGAGGAAAGGACAAAAGTTTTATTTGAGAAATTAGCCAAATAGTAAGTTTATCATTACATTTAATAAATGAACTACAATATTGAAACATTTTTAGCATTGGACCAAACATAAAATTGCTAATTCAACGACCCGACGGATTGTATTGTTTTCGGGAAAAAAAGAACAGAGTTTATTACGTTTCGGAGACAATACTAAAATTGGCTAGTACAATTCCTGATGATAATTTAATATGCATGGGCACTTGTTTTGGAAAGTTTACTAAATCTGGTAAATTTAGATTGGATATTACGGCACTCAATTACCTAGCTCCTTATGCACAGGTGAGCAATCACAGTAGCAATCGTTTTTCAATATAATAAATAATGCAAAACTTTTTTGTAGTGTAAGATATGGCTGAAACCTTCAGCAGAACAACAGTTCTTGTATGGCAATCATGTCACAAAAGCGGGTCTAGGACGAATAAGTGAAAATGTTGAAAAATATAATGGTGTGCTGGTATACAGCATGTCAGATTTACCATTGGGTTTTGGCGTTGCTGCTCGATCAACAGCTGAATGCAAGCTAGCCGATCCACTAGCTTCAATCTGTTTCCATCAAGCTGACATTGGGGAGTATATTCGATCAGAACAGGATTTATTTACTAATTTAGCTTAGCAGTTTTTTTATATATATATATAAAAGTACTCTTCTAGTTAATATTTTTATTGCGAAAAAAACTGAAAACAATTTAATAGCCTTGTTTATTAAAAAATTGGTAAATGATTTTACTCAAAACTGGACCAATGGTTTTACCGTGCTTTCCATATTTTATGTTGCACAGCAGTTTCTCTCTTTTATTCTCTGGGGTTACCTGGTATGCTTTATGTAATGTGTAGACAGTTGGATACATTTCAACTATTGCTAATGCCCTGTCCACTGATAATCCTTTGATTTGAATAAGCATTTTAACAAATAGATCCTTTACTTTTAGTTTCTGTAAATCAAAAATTTGTTAGATAAAAAAATTCAGGTGATGTATTATAAACATGCACCTTGCTTTTTATTGAACTTTTGTTGAATTCTTTAAATTCCATTAAATATGTTAAATCCTCATTTAAATCCACAGGTTTAAGATCTTGCTTGAGACAACTTACTAAAGTTTTAGACTAAAAAACCATGCATATAATTAAATAGAAAATAAACATGACCAGTTACCATACCTTATACAATTTTATCAAAAACCTAGACATATTTGCCAAGTACTGTGTGGTATCTTTAATATTGTCGGAGAACTGGACAAAAAAATTATCTTGCAAGGCTGTATTTGTAGCTGCCTGATATAAACTAGTTAATGGAAGACCCAAGTGACAATTTTTACCATAGCTTTCAATGAGATAAGTAAGGTTCTCGATACCACTTTTCTTCAATCTAAATTTTTGCTCATAATATCGACCATCTTTAATACTGGAAGCTAGATCATCCATTCTCTTTCTTTCAATAATATATGGCAAAATTAGTTCTTTGTCAGCACATCTATCTCTGCAGATCCAAACATAATCACCCACTTTCAAATCTTTTACTTCAAACTTTATATTCTCAGATCTCAGACCGAACTGTATTTCTTCCATGTTTCGGCTAAAATCTGGCTTTTAGGAGTAATAATTTATTCTTGTTTTCTCTTACCTTGAGGTTTCACAATTATCCACATAAAGAATAATGTCAAAACTATTAGGTGGCATGATAAAACATTCAAATATTGAAGTTGATGAAGTCTGGGGACTTGAATTTTCCGAAGACTTTAGTTCCATCACTGACTTTTTTGAAACCAAATTTAAGTTTTCTGAGGCAAACTTCGCTAATTTTTGATTTGCTTCATGTCTTATATTCCTTTTCTGTGACAAATTTTCAGAAAGAGAGGCAAAAGATTGTTCAGTATTTAATGCAGAATGGCATTTATTTCCAACAGCACTGGCATGATTTCCACTTTCTGTAAATGTGTCAATAATACCTGCATATTTTGTTTTTGTTTGTACATGATCCTGCTGTGATGATTTTTCATATAATACTCTTGCCAATGCAATTCCGCTATTTGTTAAGGAAAATTTTGCAGGGTTGCTATGCTTATATACTAGTTCTTTAGCAAACAGCTGTTGCATGGAGGACCAGGCAGTATAAAAGGAACCAGGCTGAGTTTTAGTGAAGGAAGTATTGCATAAGGCTTTTCCATGTTTTATAATTTCATTTTTTGTTAAATATCCCTTATATTTGTTTTCTTGACTTTTTTGGTAAAGTGTAATTAAAATTGCATAGGCCCCCGATTTATATTGTGGAATGTAAGTTACTGGTGTAAGTTTCTTTCCTTCAGATATATTTTTTTGTGTGCAATTTTCATTCAAAAATTGCCTCCTTCCAAAGTTGGAATTATTCATTGGTTGGCTGTTATAATTTTGCAATTTGTCATCCAACATTTGACATAATTTATCACCGAATCCCTTTAGAATTTTACAGTCTCGTCCTGATTCTAGTGGCAGGGGATACTTTTTAATAGATTGTAAAGCTGTATTGAAGCAGTATTGCATCTTTGAATCTCTACCTGCAGCTTCATCTCTCCATATTGTTAACCATTCTTCAAACATCGGATTCGGACTCAGAAACTTGACAGTAATCCTATTAACACTTTCATCGTCCATATTAAACACAATTTTATAAAAACCTGTTTGGTGCAATGATAGAGGTTAGATATTCAAAAGAAAAATATTCCTTCTGTTATTATTTGTATTTAACATGAAATTCAATTCAATGATGCGTTTCACAGAAAACTGTTGGGCAAGACTACCAGGATCATTCGCCCAACTTAACATGAAATCTAATGCTTGTTAGCATTCTTCTTTTACTGATTGTGACCAAAATTATTAAGTTAGTTCGGAGGGATTCGGTCATGATCATTGCACATGGCGGTTTAACTTCCGTTCGCTCCCGACAGAATCCCTTATAATCGTCCCCAAAATGTTGAAATTGGTTTGCACTGTGTGGATTTAGTGTTTTTAATGTTCAGTGAATGTTTTAATTTTTGAATAGTGTTCCAATTGTTGTTTCTGTTCCACTCGGATGGTGGTGGATCCGTCCAGTCCCTTTTAATTAAAATACTCTCCAGGTTAAGTATATTCGTAAGTGGCGGAGTGATCATAGCAAACCGACCCAATGAAGAGAGAGAGAGAGAGAAGACAATTGGGCATATCTTTATTCTTGGATTCTGTGGTGGAACATTGCACGCGGCGGTTTAACCTCCGTTCGTTCCCTACAGAATCCTTTGTAATCGTCCAAAAATTTTGAAATTGGTCTCCACTGAGTGGATTTAGTGTTTTCAGTGTTTTGTGAACGTTGTAAAGTGATAATCGTCGCCGATCCCTTCGTTTTTCCCCGTTCACGCCGGTATGGAGGCCGGATGGGCCCGGATGGTCCGGGGCGGAAGCGGGGGGTGTCGATTTTTTTTGGTATCGGTCAAATTTGTTTTTTGCTAGTTGAGCAAATATTGGTTATATGTCTTCTTTGTACGTGTTGGTCCATGACCAAAAGCGAAGATCCTCGACGGAAGTCGGCAATGGGCGAATGATCCTAGCAGCCGAGCCCAAAATTTTTTGTGAAACGCATAATTGAATTGAATCTTTATTCTTTTCTTCTTCTTTACTACTATTGGCCATAATTTTCAATTTAATTTAATTTTTTGTAATCATGCAAATTTTGCCAGCCGGATGTAAAAGGTGAAAGACAAATTGACTGGTAGTTAGTTGAGGTTATGAAAAGCGCATTTTATAAATCTTGTTGTAGTAGTTTTTTACCGACAAGTGTAAAATGAATGTTGAAATTCGGATTGTTGATAGTCTAAAGGTTAGTTTTAAATCTAGTTCTCGCAATTATTAACCATATTTAATATTGAATTTTTTTTGAAACATTGAGGGCAAAGCTCTATTTGCTACAAAAGGAATGGCAGAAGGAAGCGTGATCTTTGAAGAAGACCCTTTAGTTTCTTGTCAATTTTCATGGAATGCTGCTTATGGGTACAAAGCATGTCACCATTGTATGAGGTAGTTAGTTATCTTTGACAAGGAAATAATGTGTATCAGGTATTTTATTCAGGCCTTTAGAAACAGCTCAAGAAAATGCAAGACGTCTAACTAACAATCCTAATATAGAATTACCCTATCCCGAATGTTGTACAACAAAGTCGCATGAAGTTGTTTCTTGTGCAAAATGTGGAGAATTATTCTGTTCAGTTCTCTGCCAAGAAGCTGCTCTTGATCAGTATCATAAAATATTGTGCCTTCAAACCCATGAGAGAAATAACATTCATCCTCTAGAGCAGTTGAATGAAGCTTGGAAGTAAGTTTGAGCTATGAAAAATATCTTATTTTTAATAGAGTTTGGCTTACAGGCAGATTCATTATCCTCCAGAAACCAGTACTATATTCCTAATAGTAAGGATGCTAGCAAAAATATTGCAGTCTTCTAACAAAGATCTTGCACAGCAACAGATTTTGGGATTTTGTCACAGGAGTATTAATGAAGAAGCAGAGCTTGCTCACAAATTCTTAGGGGCTAAATTTGCAGACCAACTTACACTTTTGCATAATTTGCTTCTTGCTGCTATACCAAAAGAAGGAATTGAACAATTTTTGACACCTCAGGGGTTCCAAAGTTTATTGGCCCTAATTGGTACCAATGGTCAAGGTGTAGGTACCAGCCCATTTAGTCAATGGACTTCGAGGGCATTGGATCAAAATCTTTTAGAGAATGAACACTTGGCTCTAGAAAAACTAATTGACTATGTATATGAGGCAATGGACACGCATAGTGGATCCTTTTTGAATAATGAAGGGGTAGCTTTATATGTTCTACAAAGTGCTTGTAATCATAGTTGTACACCCAATGCTGAAGTTTGTTTCCTACACAACAACCATCGTTTATCTTTGGTAGCTTTAAAAGATATTGAGGTTGATGAAGAAATTTGCATAAGTTATCTTGATGAGTGTAGTTTAAATAGATCCAGGCATTCCCGTACAAAACAACTGATGGAAAACTACTTGTTTGCCTGTAACTGTCCCAAATGTCAGGCCGAGGCAGGAGATCCTGATGTAACAAGTGAAGAGGAAATGTCTGACAGCGATTAAACTATCATTTTCAAATTTTGGGTCTCATTTTTATTTTATTTTTTAATCATTTAAAGTACCATAAAGTTCGGTCACTTTCAAATTCTAGTAAACTTCAATAAGGTTTCCAAGATCTATTTACATGATATTACTAATTAAGGTTGCATACACAGTAATTGAGCCAATTCTACACAAGAGTTTGTCCAGGGCTAGGAACCAAATTAATTAACTGATTGCTATTTTCAGCCAATTCTGTAATGGTCACCCGTCCTCTCTGTCTGATAAATTTGGCAACAGCATCCATCTCTTGCCGAGAGACATAAATGAATTTACCTCTATCGTCAATCACACCAGTCAGTATATCATCCTTTTGCAAGTCCTTTATTCTGTCAATGCACATCTGCGTTTTGAGCTTAAAATGTGCAGCCAAATCTTCTATAATCACAACTTTATTGTGCTTAATGTAATTCACAAATTCTTGAAGAAGATTGTCACTCTCTCCTTCCTCACCTGAAAATGCAATAACCAAATACCACAATATGATGCACCAACCAATTACCTTCTTCAAAACCTTCTTCTTCAACTGAAAACATTTCCTTCATTTTAAGATACTCCTCATATTCCTTCCTCTCTTTATCCTCTCTAGCTCTTTTTTCTTCCTCTTCTCTTAATTTTTCTTCTGCTCTTTCCTTTTCCTCTAGTTCCTTCCTTTCTTTTTCTTCCAATTCTGACTTTTTTTTTCTTTCTATTCTAAGCTGTTCCTCTGCCTCACGGGCAGCTTTTTTCTCCGCTTTGGCTTCTAATTTTGCTCGCTTCTTAGCACCAATTTTTCCATCAGGTAGTTCAATATCAGATTTCCCAACAGCTTCATTTTCTTCATCCACTTCAGCGTTAACATCATTTTGAACTGCTGAAAAGAGCATCTTTGCCTTTCAATTGTTTAAAAAGGGGTATAAAACATTACCTGTTCCTCTTAGTCGAGCTCCCCTATTTCTTGCAACTTGCACCCTTCTAGGAACGTTTTCCCGGTTTCTGTTGGGAGCAGGTCTGGGTCTATCGCCATTACTGCTTTCTAAAAGGGTTCCAAAATTTAGACATTGTATAGAGGCTCCATATGTTTATAAAATATGAACCTTTTGTAGTTTGTTTCGATTTGATAAAAAATATTATACAAATGACGATGGATATTGCTGCTGCTAAAGGTATTAGCAGTGATATATCCATTAAAATTACTTAGTAGGTATTAATTTGGTACTAAAATTTTGGCAGCACTTGGTTAACCGAATTCCTTCCTCTTAGTTTATTCTATTAGGGACTTTGCCAGGATAAGACTATCCTACATTTTCTTTGTTAGGTTTTGATTAATGAATTTAATTAATTAATTAATTAATTTAATCTTAATAAGACAATTTACTAATAATTATCGGGGATATTTATCACGGCGAAGGGAGAAATAATCATCTTTTTTTCTTCATTTCTATGGCCCAAACTACAAGAATCATTCGCCCTGGCGATAATTGTAATTGTGCAATGTACATGTGTTTTGCGAGGAAGATTTTATCTATGCTTGCGCCACATAACCCGCAATATTTATTATTTTTGATTTGCTGAAATTGATTTTAGTAGAATTTTACTTTTTAAATGAAGGAAAAGGTGCAATGGATGCGAAAGTTAACGATTTTTTCAATGAAATAAATGAAATTTCTGTAAAAAAGGACAGTAACTCTCATGGCGATAGTAATTACCTAGTGGGGCATACATGTTTGCGTTATTAATTATGAATTTGCAGTTATTTGGCGCGAATGCCAAGACGAGCTCACCGGATATCCTTATTATTGGAACACTCAAACTGACGAAGTTAGCTGGCAGAAGCCAAAACAGTTTAAATCTCCACAAAATCAAAAAAAGTCAAAAGCTTATGAAAACAAGAAACTGGAACTCTATGTACCACCTAAGGCTCCATCTTTCCCTAATCCGAACATTTTAACAAACAACGCGGTAAAAATATATTCAATTCAAGAAAATTCACAAAAGGGATGTGTATCTGAACAAAAATTAAAGCAAGTGAGGCGTACACAGAGATCAAGCGATTCAGACGATGAGTAAGTAAAGTTCTTACTGTACACGACTTTAGTATCAAAAAAGCGCGTTTTTTAAAAGTAATGTAAGCAGCATTTTTGTTAGAATTACACAATTACTAATTAAGTTGAGCTAGACTTTAAACAATACTGAGCTTTAACAAATATTATTGACCCTTTTATGTCCAAGGGATAGCCACTATAATAAAAATTATGACAGTACTGCTCAAATCAGTGCTTGCCACAAAATTTCGCAGAATATTGCATGATTGCGCAGATTTTCTTATGAATGCGCGGGATTTTGTTCATAATTTTAAGACTGACAAATTAAATTTCTGTAGAGGGAGTAAGAGTGAGGAAGGAGCTACTGTTAATTTTAATATACACCTTTCTGTCATAATTAAAAAATTAAAATATTTCTCCCAAAATGTTTGTCACATAGAGGGCAGCCTAAAAAACATTGGAACCTTTCTTAGAAAATGTATGTATTAAATTATATGCTAATAGGTCGACAATGTGTGATGGAAAAGTTTCTATCAATTTAAATCCTTTTAAAATAAGTAAAATTTTTATATTAGCATTTTCAAAACATTGTGTTGCGTTTTTAAGCGATTTTACCTAAATTGAAATTTTTACACAAGAATTTCTGTATGTAAAGCACCATTTTTTCCCATGTCATTTTTTTATTTATTTAAATTATGTAATTAAAGCAATGGTCAGTTTAGGTTCAAACATTTGTTGAAAACTGAAAAGATTTAATAAACATTCAAAAAAGTGTCAAATTTGAAACAAAACGAAACTCAAATCTGTTAGATATTCCAAATCATTCCAATTTGTTTCCTATTTGTAACGCTTTTTAATTTTTTTATTTAGAATGCTGCGAGAACTGCAATATTTGTGTTACCACCCCGTATAAAATCAATTTTGCAAATGAAAAAATAAAAATGTGATAAGTTTTGCGGATTTTTGAGAGGATGTTACCTTATCTCAGAACTTATTCAAAATATCAAAAAAACTGGAAGACAAAAATTGTTTGGATTCACTTATAATTTTAGGATATTATATTCTTATATATACAAGGTGTTCACTTATTTCGTGGACATCTTATTTTAAATAGAACACTCTATATACCAAGGCGTTTTTTAATTCCTCGGAACTTTCTTGATATATTTCATATGTAATATCCTACACAACCTAACAACATAAATACAATGTGGTCAATAACTAACTAAAAAAAATGAACATTCAAATGAAAATATTATTAAAAGTCATTTTTAAAATAGCGACCCTTTGTATGATGTCTATAAAAAGTTTCGAAATGATAGCAATAAAACGTTTTTCTGTTGTAAAATTCCTATACCATTTTATGTGATTTTATTGGTTACAACGATAAAGGCGAAACATAGTGAAAATAAAAAACAAGCACTACAGAAACGTCATTATTTTGACTTTCTGTACATTACGAAATTAATGCTTGACAGTTTTATGCCACCTAACTTAGTCATTATATTTATTATTTTAATAAAAAAAAAACCCCGTTTATATACAACTTTTTGCTGAATATAAAATAAATAATGGACAAAATAGTATGTAATAAAACAAATTGAATGGATTTTTTATTTTCAAAATTGGGCGTTAAATTTCTTCTAAAAAATAATAATAGTTGTGAGACTGTATCTTGCAGTTCTCAAAACAACAAGAAAGAGAATTCCGAATTTAAGATGTATTGTACATTTGAAAACCATCCACGTTCTTTTATATCGGTAAAATTACTTTTTGCCCTTTAGTACAAATTTTGGATAATAGATTCGCAATGTTTTCCGCTACTAATTTTTGACAGTCTACTTTCTCAATTTCTAGACCGTCTCGTACTCTAACTCAGTTTTAAAATTAAAAAATTTGTTTGGTTATTTGGGATCTGCCATTCGAATTTTTAGCGAACTTAATTAAGCGCTTAACTTTGTACCGCATTTTCATTGGTTAGAACAACAATATCTGTGTATATTATACTCCCGATTTGGCACTAGTCACCTCATTTTAGGAAAATCGAGCTAATTACATCATACGGAAGTGGAAGTGATAGCGAATCTGATAAAAAGAAGCCCCACGTGAAGAGCAAAGACACATGTGTAAGTAATACAAAATTCTTTTCCTTTTATTTTTGTTGCATTATGATGAAAAAAAGTTACGATAGTAATGTTATGATCCCAAAGTTTTCAATCTGAATGTTTTAATCTAATGGAGGGCCCCTGATGATTTAGTGCTAGAGCTCTCCTATTTTTGTTGAGAACTCGCATTTTCTGAGGCTCCATTTGAAAACATATTTTCAATTCCGCAACGAGTTTTTCTATTTACTGCAGAGTCATGACAGTCAATCAGACGAGGACGATGAAATCGATATACTGGCTAAAATACAAAAAAGGGCAAAAGAATTGAAAGCTCTAGGTGGAGATGTACCTTCAGAAGTTAAATCTATTATAGAACAATCTCCCTTAAGGGATAAACCGGCAACAGCTGCAAACAAGGAAATTGCGGGATTTTCATTAGTAGCTGGTTACAGTGACTCGGAAGAGGAAGATGAGGACTATGTTAAGCCTGTTGGAACAACGGTTGATACAATTTCGCCATTTATTAATCCGCCCATGAAACCCGCAGAAATTTCACACAGCACTTTGTTTCCTATTGCTAAACCGGTCGATATTAATGATTTTGCCACATCGGAAGAGAGTAAAATTTCCAATGTGCCCGAAAGTGAGCAGCTAGATTTATCCACGCGGGCCTTCCAAAGAAAGAGACGTATCGGTGTGTCGCTGGTAAATAGCGGCAAGAAAAAAGAGGTCGAGGAGAGCGAATTTAAAGGTCTCGGTTTTAAGACGGAGATTATTACAGTTGAAAACGCTGAGAAAGATGCAGTGTACTCGAGATTTCAGAAGGGCGGCGTTATGTTTGTTAAATCAGACGTGTTAAACCCTAACCCCGTCATCAATGAAGGAAAAAAAGACGCTGAAAGTGCCGATACTATTTCAAGTAACAAAGAAACGACTGAAGAGATTTACACTACCCTTAAAGAGAAACTAATGTTTTTAAGCGAAAGTAGAGAGGCTGTGTCGCCAGTTCAAACTATGCTCATCCAAGCTGAAGTGAGTCGCTAGACATAACTTGTAGGCCTTATATCAGATAGTTTGTTTTAGACATTATTCCTAGCAATGAAAGGTGACGGACTGAAAGTTTCCTATCTTCACAGATGGTTGCATGAAACTTGTTCAGAACTGCTTCATTTGGAAAAAGAAGCAGCGCCAGATGGATGGCTTCTTCAGTGGGATAGGTACGACGTTACGTCTTTTTTGTTTTAAATAGGTCTTCCGCAACCCCTCGAGTCCCTCGCAAGTCTCCCTTCAATTCCTTAATTGTTTTTTGCTTAAGTTGAACATTTAGTGCCACGAGAAGATGTCGAGCATTACAACTTCGAGCCGGTTCAGGTAAGCATTTTTTATTTTATCTACTTACCGGAAAGAAGTGTTGGTAACGCTTTAAGGAATTTTCGATCTACATGAACTGTATTATGAGAAAAAATATAAAAAGTTCTGAACTCTTCAGTGTGTCAATGTAGCACATGTGTAGATGTCCCTTATGCGGTTGTCACGCAGGCGTTTTTCTCCTTATCTGTGTTGCCGATAGGCAATTTTTAGTGTGTGCAAAGCAATTTCAATTTCAATACGCCTTACATTGCAAAATTTATTTATTCCAAGATTATCAAATATTTTTTGTGCAGCTTATATCAAAATCAATTATTGAGAACACTTCGTGTGATTTGTAACTGCTAAATAGCGAAATTTCTATTGCGTAAAAGAATACATTGTGGATTCACTTATTTTGGAAAATAAAAACAGCTTTGAAGGTTAATTTTATTTTAAACACAGCAATAATAAAATTCGCCACAGTGTAGAACAAAAAAATTATATACCAAGCGGAGCAAAGCAATAGCCGTTGCTTGGTAAAGACGTATGGAATATGTGCCTTTGTAGCTTGAGGTTTGTAAAAATTGTAACATACTTTTCGCTCACTTGACACAATGAATGTGTCATTAACCATATTTTTTATGTTTAGGATACCTGTCACTGGGCGCGACTGGCCACTTCGCCATTTTCCGACGGACCGAGAAGATAATACTTTTTCTTTTTAACCTGAATAGTTGATTACTATCTATTTAATTATGATATATTTGGACAGGTACAGTATACTGGTGCTATTCAAAGTAATTCGTTTAAAATCCAACCTGCCCGGGATATAGTGCATATTATATAAGTATTATATAAAGTACAGCTTACCGCAATATTTTCTAGTTTTTTCTAATATCCATAGTGGCATTTTAAAGCGAAACAGCAGTTTTTCTGGGGGGTGCGCTGTTTAAAAAAAAAAGATAATTTGCGAATTTTTCAAGATTAAGTTTGTGATTCTTTCATTAAATTCGAGTGCAACCCCATTAAAATTTAAAAAGATGTTAATAAAGAAAAACATGCCCCAGCCTCGCATATACTTTTTTTGTATGGCGAGGAATAGAGGGAAAATTCAACCTCTACCCAAAGTACAAAAATATATACGAACATTTTCGGTTTTCCATCACCAAGCAAGCTCAGTCTCGCATTTGCGATGAAAGATTTCTTGCCTGATTTTTAGATCTCATAAGCGGTATTATTACCAAAATCAAAACACGGGCGAGAGCCAGTGGGAATACCCCCAGCCGGACATAACCAGATGCGATGACGCGATGGACATATGCACCACGCCGCCCCCGCCGCCGGAACAGGCCCCCGTGCCCGTTACACCACCCCTACCACCGACCATACGCAGCCCCACTCCTCCCCCACCACCCGTCATAAGTTTATCTGACGTTAATGTTCGCGCGAATGCTACAGGTAAAGTTTGTTTTGACTTAATAAAAATTATTATTCAAAAGGTATCTCGTTTAAGATGGCCAAAATATCACCTTCGACGTGCCTCTACCTCCTAGTCCAAAGAGAAGCGTCCATTTCGACGGCGAACCACTGCCACCGGGTGTGGAATTGCCCGAACCCAATAGCTCGTACAAAAACTTGCCGGTAGGGCGCGTTCTCATCAGTTGAAAACAAAAAATAATGTATCGGACTGAGGTGGCTTTCACTTGATGAAAATCCATTTAACAAAATTAAATTAGGGGAAAAAATATTTGTATTTTCACAGTTTAATAATTTCGGCAGCACCATCCAATACAAAATATGATAATTCGTCATTAAGTAATAGATTCGAATATCTCATTTTGTTAATCTCCATAGCTTCCAACAAATTTATTCTTTTTGCTTTTTGATTCATTATGTAAAATATAAAAATTATGGTCATTTCTGAATTTAAATGAATGGCATAGTTAGAATCCGAACTTTTATTTTCATACGCCCTTTTCTGTTCGTTAATGCGTTTCTTAAATGTTCTACCTATTTGTCCTACATAAGATTTTGGGACATGATCCACATTTCAACCGGATCTTTGATATTTTCATAATTTGGTTTTATTGTTTTTAAAAAAATGGTGTTTTCAGCTTTAAAAGCAATCTAAGACCAAATTTTGATAGATGTCCCGAAATTTTCTTGTTAGGTTCTCCTATGTATTTTATTGTTTTATAAATTTTGAGTTCGGTTTTTAATGTGGGATATATAGAGTACAGAGTTATTTGAAACTGCTCTATCAAATATTTAATTCTTTTTCAAAATTTTCTTGGAGAGTGATATATTAAGTAGTCTGTGGGTAAAAGCATGAAAGGCCGCCATTTTGTGTGTGTAAGGGTGATTTGAGTTATTATGTATTATTGTGTCCGTGTGTGAGGGTTTATGGTAAATGGAAAAATCTAATTTATTTTGTAGTTTAGTTATAGTTAAGTCCAGAAAGCTTAAAGAGTTATCTAGTTCCATCTCTATGGTAAATTTTATACTGTTATCTATGGAGTTAATATGATTCAAAAAGGATTGCAGCTGTCTTTCCAGTTCCAGTGAAACAAGCAAAAATATCATCTACATATCTATACCACCAGAGAAATCCTTTGTTTAGAGGATGTTTATGTATGATATTTTATAAATTGTCCATGAAAATTTCTGCAAGTAGTGGACTAGGTGGGTTTCCCATAATTAATCAATCCTTTAGCATTATAAAATTGATCATTAAATTCAAAATAATTTTGGTCTAAACGAATTATTGGACTATCTAGCAAGTCTTGTTTTATGATAGGGTTGACTTGCCTCTGAGTGAGAATTTGTCTGTTATATTTATTATGTCAATTGGTGGAATGCCAGGAAATAGAAATGAAATGAAACTAGAATTGCCTTAGGAGGAATTTTAATCTCTTGAACCTTGTTAATTGGTTCAAACGAATTTTTAATACATTGTAATTAAAAATACATTACTATCTTTAAACTTTTTACCTTCGTAGTATTGTCATATTTTGTATATGATAAATTAATTTAATTGTAAAAAAAATGTATGTCCTTAGGTTCAAGAAAATGCGGATGATTTGACTTCCGCCTTGGATTCATTTTATTCAGAAATTGCGGCGGCGACGACGCCGACCGAAACGCCTCCTGTCGGACCGACTTGCGATGACGCAACGCCACAGGCGGAACTTAATTTAGGGGAGCCGGTGAAGAAAAAAAAGAAAAAGGTAATTTTTAGGAGGTACTGGCCGAAATAGACCGGGTAAATTGTTATTAATTTTAGGTAAAGTTAGCTCAGGGTCTGGCGATGAAGAAAAAAGGCGTGTCACAATTAGTGGAGAAGTGGAAGAATGTGCAAAAAGATTTTTGACTTTACTCACAGCGTATATATCTGTATGGTTTGTGTTGAGTGAGAAAATGTCCCTGATAATGAAGAAATAGTGTAAAAATAAAATTATTATTTATTAAATGATTGAATTAAATTGTCGTGTCCATTCAATGGAAAACTTCTATCGTCACATTAAATTTTCTGGTTTAGATACAAAGAATAGAGATTTTCAATTAAATTGCATTCCGGGAACTTCGTAAATGTTGCTTTCAAATAAAATCCGTAAATTGAGTTTAGGGATCTTGGCTTTCAAATGCCAATTAAATGTCAAAAACCTCAACAACTGGTCATAGACCATAAACGGGAGTCGGTCTGGAGAGCCCGCAAATTTTCACGCATCACTGATCTAATAACTAAAGGCCTGTGGTGCAGTTTTTTTCTAGAAGGCATGCAAACACATAGGTACATAGATGCTATAACGTACATATATTGGTTTTTGCCGTAGGCACTTTATTACAAACAAAGCCAAAAATGATAAAATAACCCTTAATATTTTTGTGTAAAACCTAATATAATTTAAGGACTATAAAAACCCGCATGCGCTATACATTTCTTTTATTTTTGATTGATAAAAAAGAAGTAAAAGGGCTTCATAAATAACATTCAGATTCTGTAAAAGAGAAAACCTACTTGTATAGATCCGGAAATATTACTATTACGTTCTTATAGGTACTAGTCAGTCTATCCTTGGCCCAACGTAGCCATTGTTTTATTGCTCTTTTTTATGATCATCTGTCAATTTTACGAGAAGTGAATGAATACTTTACAAACATTTCTGTGTATCAATAACATTAACATGATATATGGTCACAAATAAAGCAGTGGTGCTGTGTAAGAAAAATCCCTATTACTTGGTATGAAGCAACCATAAATCGTGGATAGTATTATAGGGTGTATGTTTTATTCCTTGATTAAAGATGTTCGGATTGGATATATGTACATGTCACTGTTGGGACAATACTCGAATATTACTCGCGCGAAACAAGTGTATTTTAATTAAACCCTCCTAATGAACTGAGACTATAAAATTCGGGTTATTTAATTACGGACCGCTTCTTATAAATTAAAAATACGTGTTAATGCGTCACAATAAGCCCGCGCAGGATCCCCGAGGATGTAAAAAGGGTCTCCCATAAAATGACGAATGCGGGATAAATATATAGGACCTCGGCGCTTTTTCATTCTTCCGCGTCCTAAAATTAATTACGATTGCGCGGGGAAATTCCCAGTCGTAAAACTGGACGTTAAAATTAAACATCCCGAAAATATTAATCGGGAGTTGATGGTATCACCCGAAAATACGACGCCGTTTCCCTCCGGGTCCCGTTAAAAATCATCGAAAGAAATCACGTAGGAACAGTCGGAGAAATAATGCCGAATTTGCGAATCCGAAGTAGGTTATTATGATTACGGGCGGGCGAAGACTATGGCCGAAGAGTTATAGAAGTAAACTTGGGTTTAAAAATAAGGAATTGAATTTGAATTGAATATTTATGCCAAATATAGACTTCATCTAACTCTTATTAACAAATCTTTGCTCTGCTAGTGAAACACATTTCACGTTCACTTTTATAAAATCAACTACATCAATTACAATGTTCCATGGAGCTACTATTTTTATTTGCCTAAAATAGTTAAAAACTAGATCAACATACACATAAAATTGCATTATGATACTTTTTTGCATTTTAAATTCCCTCAACAGTGACGTGACTTCAATTTTGACATATACGAGATGCTATCAATGTCAAAATCAAATGTTTCTTTAAATTTAATTACGAAATATGTTCCGAAAGCTTTTATATAAGTGGAGCAAAAGTTCGTTTCGCGCTTGACAAAAGTCGTTCTTGATATTGGGACAAATTTAATTTAATAATATATGGCAAATCGGAACATTAAGATACCGAGCGCTAGACTATCTGATTCCTATTCTTAAGAGATAATCTACCAAAAAGATCGATTTTCTTTTAAATGTCCTTCAGCGAACCCGGAAGACAAACAGACGGCTCAATCAGTTTCCCGTACGTTCGATGTGATAACCCGGCATTTGATTCGATTTTTCGTCATATATGCGTAGAAAAACCTTTTCCGATACATGCGTAACGTCAAAGGAGTTATTATTGCTTTTGGTACGGCTCACCGGACCAGGACAAAGTCCGCGGACGAGATTTAGAACCTTGAAATACATTTAATCACAGCAGAGACCTTTAATGTTTACAGTAAGCAGATTTAAAGATCGCATTGTTGATAAATAACAACGTTCAGATTTGTTTGTGTTGATATAACCACAAACCAAATAATTCAAAGAGTTAACTTTATAAAAGAAACTACCTTTTTGGTAGATTATCTTTTATGCACTGAATGCATACATAACACTTTTAATGACTATGTCATATTTATTATTACGAGCAAATAACAAAATATTTACTTACCTTATTTGACCTACACTAAATGTTATATATTTTTGTCCAATGACACTTTTATTTAAGAGGTACGGCCAAGAGAACTTCTACTTTAAAACGATGTTCATATTAGTAATCTATAATACAAATAATGGGATTTAAAATTCTACAATATGATTGACCCCCTGGCGGCCGTTACATTCATTAAGTGGAAAGCGGAGTTGCCAATTGGCAATAGATTAGTCTTCCCTATGCCTCACTGTCGCAGGCAGTGCCAAATCGGAACTTAAGGATATAAGTATTTCCCGATTAGGTGGGGATTAAAACAGTATAAGCTCCTTAAAGTTACAGAATTACTGCATACAGTGAGCTAGCCGAAATGAATAATTCACGCAGAAATTAAGCGAGCGTGCGTAATTTCGCGTTTATCGCGACTCCCGAGCTTTGATAAATAATAGATTAGCAGATGTAAATCATAAGGAGTTAGGCAAGTTTCCTAGTTTTCACTTTGCCGACGCCGCAAATATCTTACGAAGATCGTTCCCCCGACTCCCAGGCAGCACGCTTTGGCTGCAAGTTCGAGGCTTAATATCGGCTTTAAAAAAGTGTAGTTTAAATAAGCCAACAAAAAAATATTGTAGTATCGATTCTAGTTCACAATTTTGTCTATGAATTTGCGCTCCTTTTGTTTAGTATAACTTAAATTCAGAACATAACTTTGTTACAGTGCACGCTGCGCTCCGTTCGAGTCAAATAAACTCGTGAGTCAAATGCATCCATATGCGGAGACCACATCACTCCTTTAAGCTATAGAAGAGGTGGTAAACTCTTGATGAAGCTGAAGTACGCACTGCAGTGTATTTCAGGTAAATGTTATCAGTTGTAAATCAGGTTCATTTTTCTTCTGGTCATTTTATATATATATATATATATATATATATATATATATATATATATATATATATATATATATATATATATATATATATATATATATATATATATATAATTTGCGAATGTGAAAATTTTCCTTTTTGTCCATAAGACAATATTTTTTTGATAGGGGGGCGTTTTTGGGCAGAGAAATCTATTAACACTAAAGTCCCGAACTATAGACACACAGCAAAGTATGGTTGTGCCTGACTTTCTCCTAATTACATTCAATTAATTTATTAACAATTTATGTATATTGCAGTACATTCCAGAATTATGTATATTGCAGAATATTTAAAAATAACATAATTTAAAATTGCGTGCGACTTCGACGAAACACAGACCAAAGATAATTTTAATATAAATAGGTGCTTACCCATTGATCGTTCTCGTCATAGAACACTATCCAGATGACTTTGAGAGACAAGCAAGGGAATAAGTGAATGTGATGCGAAACCGTATTAATATTAAAAATTGACAAAAGATTCACCATTAAAACGTTATTATTTTGCATATAGGAAGCCAATTTCCAAAACGTTCCGTTCTCGGGCACATAAATCAAGCAACACATGCGATTTCAGAAAGTATAGGAGCTGTGATTGACTGCTGCGCAAGAATGCAAGACATTAATCATATATTTTGCATGTTATCCTCTGAGCCCTCGTCGGATATGACATTGCACCCTGCCAGAATCGAACCCCTCACCGTTTTAACCTTAACCTTTAACTACCGATGTGTTTTTGTAAAGACAATGAGTTGTTCATTAATAATTCGATAGACCTGAATATATCTCAACTTCCTATTTCCAATGGCGTTCCTAAAGGAAATCTAATTAACATAATTACGAAAAAAAAAAAAGATTTTTGAAATATATATTTGTTTGCCAATTAAAAAAACGAATTTTTATTTATGTTAAAACCCCATTTGTTGTACGGCCCTGGTGGTAATAAGCGCGGACTTGAATTATATAATTATAAATAAAGACTTTTGATATGATCAACTATATTTTTTTCAAAGATATTCATTAAGAAGAAAATTATAATATTAGTATAAGTACTTGTGAATCATTTTAACTGGAGAGGCAATTAAAAATATTATATTCGCTTAATTTTCTTTTTAATTTTTTGATGTTTTGCTTAAAAACACTTATCGAGATTGTAAAAAAAATTGTAAAAGAAAATAAAAAAGAATAATAACAGTTCCGCAATTTATACAAAAAGTGTAATTTTAATCATTACATGTCTCGAAAACTTATTGGCTTAAAACTCTAATTCTAAAACTCAAGGTATCTGTAATATAATTAGAAATTTGCTTATTTAAAAACTCAACGTTGCCGGATCCGTCGAAACACTTTTCGTGTTTAGTGTAGGGACGGCACAGAGCCCTCACGCATGACTTCAAATTGTTCTGCGTGTTGTCGATAATGTCAATTTCATATTTATAATTTTTACTCTCCTCAGCGGGTCCGACCAGTTGCAGCACCCACTTGAACACCTCCTCGCGGTATGCGAAACAAAGCTTAAAAAGTTTCGATCGAAACTTGATCAAATAGTACCGGTCACATTCTTGCTTGGCGTCATCCATTGCAATATTGATACGATCAGACTTTAAAATGTAATTTCCATGATAAATTTCAATGTGGTTTATGATTTTGCTGCGGTTGCATTTCTCCTTGCAACTTGTGAGCTCTCCTACGGGACAATCGTACGGGCCATATTCACAACTCTCTTCGTGGGTTCTAATTTCTGTGGATTTAAAACTTTCGGGACAACCCATCTTGTAATATTTGCAAGGATAGTTGAGTTTCATGGCCACTTTTTCAAGCGTAAAGTTTTGGGTATTGTCTAATTCTGCTTTACAGATCGGGCATTCCTTCAAACTTGGTTTGCAAGTGGCACAAATGCAGTGACCCGTTAGGCACTGATATATGGGTGGCGGCATATATTCAAAACATACTGGACATTCTAAATCCGAAAGCATTTCCCAATCTATTTCAGGATTTTTAACAGTATCTCCTTTTACGTCTTCTTCAACTTCCTCTGCAAAATTTTTCTCAACAATTTCAACGGTTGCTATGATTGTAGCAGGCCTGCATAACTGGTCATTGATAAATTGGGATAGAAGTTTTGTGACTCTCTCATCAGATGCAGGTGAAGTACTTCTTTGCGGGCATTTATATGAATAGGTTTGATTTCCAGTGTCCAGCCTTAGATGATAATTATACTTGGCTGGATTTTCTTTTTGGATAATGTGTTCCACCTCACAAGTCAATGTTTGGGTTCTAGCATCAACTTCATTTTTGATTATGAAAATTTCATTTTTAAAGGGCAAAAGCAAGCTCTCTTTAAGACTGTTAACAAAGTTTACTTCAAATTTTTGATCAGTAAGCAACAACTCTTTGTGCGATTCTTCAAAATGCTTCTTAAGATCAGAATGGGGTCCACACCACTCACATCTTAAATAAGCTTTACTTGGACAAGCTATTTTCTTGTAAGTACAGGCCAATTCATGATCCTTCATATTTAAAGGAGTCAGCTGAACTTTACAACCATTACGTTCCTGAGGGCACGTGAACAATATAAATTGAGCGATCAGCTCATAGGCTTCATCCCGGATATAGTCAAGATCATTTGGTACTTTGCACCGACCACATACAGCCATTTTTCCATCTATTTTAATATGTACAGGATACACCGACAGCTCTAACATACACAGCGAGCATTTAAGGTTTTGCAGGACCTCAACAGGTAAAGACAACTTCGATGCCATTGCGGATCTATAAAGGGAGGAGTAAAAAGCAAGACTTAGTTAAAAATCAGCTTCGTAAGCTCCTTAGACGCAATGCAATTTTGCCATGTATTTTTAACATATAAAAATTGCTGCAAACAAATTTTTCTTTTAAAAGTTGCTTTTCAAATTTTGTCACAAAAACGATACTTTTTAGTGTTTGTTAATGTTGAATGGCTAATAACTAAAACAATTTTTTTGTGCAATTCTCTTAGGTTTCATACTGAAATGCTGTTTACGGGAATCACAGCAATAAAATTAGGCAAAAAATACTATTTCTGTTCTACTTTTTAGTTTGTAGATAAAAACGGCTTAAAACCACGCCTGATACACAGGCAAGTTCCCAATTTAACAATTTACCTTTCCACTTTAAAAATCCAAATTTCTTCACAAAATATTCATAACCCACTCCAAACTCCAACACAAGTATGGAAAACTAAACTAACCCAAAAAATTTCTGTTTTGTACCACAGCACAAACCATGAACTTATATCAGGAATCCAATTTGGGTTACAAACTATGCTGTTTCATGGTCTCTGATTGTACAAGATATTACGGTAACAGCACACGACCAAAAGTTAAATTAACCTTATTAATTTCTTCATGAACTCGATAAGCATTTTTTTCGATCTAATCAAGTAAAGTAAATAAATATACTAATTAAATGGTTCACTTAATATATTAGTTTAACGCATAAAATACAAAAATAGAAGTTTCACACATCAGTAATTCAAAATTCTGACTCGATACGTAAGTTGATTGGATATAAACTTGCTCAACTGATTTTTCTCTAAGGACACACATGTATCACTTTTGTCGTCACTGAACGCATCATTAGCAGCACAGAATGGAGCGCACACTTTTTTGAAATAAATTCTGCAGTTTTCATTAGAGTTGTCAATAATTTCCAGTTCAAATTTGTACTTAACACATTCCTCAGGTGGCCCAATGAGCTGGACTACCCAATAAAAGTAATTACTTATGAATCTGAAGCATAGCCTAAATAAACGCAAGGAATGTTTTAGTATGTAACACTCATTCAACAAAGTAGAATCCTCATCAAAAGGAATGCTAACCATTTCAATTTCAAGAAGGCTTTCGTAGTGCTTTTTGAAAATGTGGTCATACATATCGATAACGGACATTTCATCTTTGCACTCCTCATATTCTCCAACTGGGCACCTATACGGACCAAAAATACAAGAAGCTTCATGCACTTTTATGTCCTGTGCTTTTGTGGAAAATGTGCACCTATCATGTTTGCAAGGATAGATCATATTTCGGATAAGCTTCTCCAATGTAAAGTTTTGTGTCCTTTTAAAACTTTGCTTACATGTGGGGCACTCATTTTGTGTGTTTCTACACCGCTCACAAATGCTGTGACCTGTTTCGCATTGAAATATTGGTGGGACCAAGTATTCAAAGCAAACAGGACACTCTAGTTCAGACAATTGATCATAATCAAGTTGACTGTTGACATTATTTGCTTCAGCACCTGATATGCTATCTAGGAACTCATCATTTTCATTAGGAACTAAATCAATGTGTGCAATAATATTAGTTGGATCCTGTAGAACATCCTTTAGAAGCAAATCATTGAATTCCAAAATGCTTTTCATTTTAACCTCTTTCACAATATGTTTATGTAAGCGGTTTCCACTTTCCAAAGTGAAGATGTAAGTGTAGTGCTCTATTTCAGGGTTAGAGCCAACATACTCTACAGAACATGAAAAAGTTGATGATGCTGAAACTGCTTCACGAGTGACAATAAATAATTCTTCTCCATAAGGCAGCAGATAGTTTTCTTTATGATTGTTGATAAAATCAACCTCAAACTTGCCATCTTTAAGTATAAAAGTTGGATGCTTGTTTTCAAAATGCTCCAAAATCTCATTACAAAAGCCTTCCCAAATGCAGTTATTGTAAACTCTGGTAGGGCATTCATACTTTTTGTATAGACACAGCCTCTCATGGTCAGGTACATTAGCTGGAATTAGATTTTCTAGGCATCCATTGGCACGATACCTACAAGGAAACTTTTGAAATTGCACCGTTGTCTCATATATTTCATTCCTAATGAAATTTTCATGTATGTCCACGGAACATCTCCCACACATGGAACCAATCTTAGGATGACTGTATATGGGAAAGTGAGATAAATAATTTTTGCATTTTGTGCAGATCAGTTTGGGCAGTAAAGAAGATGGAACAAATACTTGAACCTGACCTGTAATTAAATACAAAGCACAACCTGGAATAGCATATTCTCAATATAATTTAAATAAGACGTACCTACGGCGGCCATTTTGGCATGTCATTCCCAAGAAATTTTGTTTGATATGAAGATTTTTTTTAAATCAACGAATGTAATTCACAGACACCTGTGCCAACCAGAGAACAATTATAGGTTAGTTTTAACGATAATTTAAAGCATGGAGCACAAAGAAAACTTTCTTTTTCTTATGTTTTGTTCACAACGGAATGATATAATTTTACTTGTTTTCTTGCGGATCATTTGGGGCACAGCATTGTCAATTAAGGATGCAAGGTACCGCAGCTAAAAAATATTCACTGCTAGAAATTTTCTACATATAGAACAAGGACGAAAGAGGACAGTGATGCTGGCGATTTAGCACGAGTAGTGACGTCACATATCCACATAGTAATATGTCTCATGCCTTATTATATATATATATATATATATATATATATATATATATATATATATATATATATATATATATATATATATATATATATATATATATATATATATATATATATATATATATATATACATATATACATATATTTATATATTTATATATTTATATTATGCTTTATAAAAACAGTATCGAATAGTTAAATTAAAAAGATGGTGTTCAAGTTTAAAATTACATATATAATGCAATTAACAACGCATGGTGTTTTTGTTGTTAGAGAATTTGCAAAAAAAAACTGAAAATCATTAGCGCGACTTTCTTTTTAGTCACTTTAATTAGTTATTTTATTGCACTTTGTAAGGTCACTCGGCCTGTCGCATGTAATTCATTTAAAATATGCGAAAATCCGGAACAATTAATAGAGGGTAATTTACAACACTATTCCACACATATAGCAACTTTTACTTATTTATTTAAACACTTCAAAATCATTCTTCATATACAGCTCACAATAATTTAATAGTTTAAAAGATGTAACACCATTTTCAATAACCATTTTTGGTTCGTGATAATCATCTGGTTGGTGAACGAAAACAAATGAATCGCTTACAGGGTGTGGAAATATAAAAAAATCGACATTCATGAGCTACGCTGTATAGAGGTATATAAAACGATGACGTATATACGCAAATCGGTCTCTGTCATTTATTTCCCCATCCTTTGCATTCTTTTGGCCCCAATGCGAATCAACCGAGCATCCAAAAATTTAAATGAAGCCATTACACATTTATCCCATTTACGTCAGTAATTCATAAATGAATATATTCCCGAATGGGACTAGTTTGAATCGTTTAAATTTACATATATCTACATGAAGTTTTCGAATGTTGGGTTCCTTAAATGCATGACATTATCTTTATTCATGTAAGAGGGACACATGAAGGAACATTTTATATTTTGTAATTAGGTAGCTACATCACGAAGATCTCGAGCTTATTAATACACATGACTTTCTCATTCCTGCTGCAAAAAAAATTCAACAGTCCTCCGGAACTGCTGAATGGTGGACTACCTACCTATGCCGATAATACAGGAAGTTGTGAAGCAACTACGAAAATTTGTTTGAGAAGGTCCATTCAACATGCGCATGCGCGAGACTTCAATTCTCATTTTTAACCAACGACCTTGCGGAATTTAACACCCAACATGGTCACGGTATTTTCTCGAAATATGCTTAGATCTTGTTAAATTAAATCGCACAAAATGTAGGTTAGTGAAAATATCAATGCCGCCTGCGAAGCATGAATTTTTACAGTAGTGGGGCCCCTATATTATCTAAAAGCTATATGGGTGTAACCGACATTTAATATTGTTTTAGCGGAGAAATAGTTTTTCTATATGATACGGATAAAATGGCTATTGTTTATGAGACTATGACGCTATGGTCTGTTCCTGAATGCGAGAAAGTTATAAATCATTATTGATTGGTAAAACTGCGCTTTCTAAAAATAGAAAATTATTATTCTAAAGGTGTTCAAAGCTCTTCGCCACCAGAATTCAATATTCGGAGTGGCAAAATTAGTTCAAGTGTCTTGGGATATGACTGTAGTTGGACAGTCAACTATATACCGACTTGTACACGAGGATAAAAGCGGCTTATCAGGTCACCAAAAAATAGAACAGGAAGAAAATGAACTGTAATAAATGAGAATGAAAAGGCTGCCATCAGTACAATAAGTAAATACGTAACTTGGACAAAATAACGTCTGAAATCAAAAAGGATGATATCACTCCACCCATGAAGAAGAAGAAATTTTAGAAAACTTGGGAGGAAATTAATTTTCGTTACAAAAAAACTTAAAATAAAAAATTACTTTTAATAGATATAATAAATTATCTGCTCCACGGGAAAATAAGAATATCTATTATCTGGATGAAACTTGGGTAAATGAAGGATATACCATATAACTATTAGATAATATAGCGGCCGCACTACTGTAAAAATGAAAAATGGTTTTTCGCGCACGCCTCTACATTCCATCCGCTAACCTGCACTTTGTGCCATTTTATTTCTAAACAGCAAATGCCGTATCGAAACTTATTTTCGATCTATTGCGGCCATGTTGGTTGATGAATGCTCATGTTAAGATTTTAAATCTCACGCATGCGCATGCTGAGTGGACCTTCTCAAAATTTTTTTCATAGTCGCATCATACGTTCCTTTATTGTTACATTAAATATAGGAGTTACTACCGATATCGAAGCACTATATGGGACATACGGTTGGTAAAACATGGCAGGTTCATGGGCAGTGAATAAAAGCAACATCGGGAAAAGGTCAAAGAATAATAATTAGTCACACACAATGCATTTGCAGACATGAATACTGAAGTTTTTGAAGACTACCAGCAAATGCTAGATCTTATAACTCCTGCGTCTGCTAGGATGATGGATAATGCCGACTATCACTCAAGAAAATCCGAAAAAATAGTCTTCTTGGAAAAAAAAACTACGTCATTGATTGGCTTACTTAAAATAAGAAGCAATTTCGCACAGTTATCCGGAAAAAGGAGTTACTGGAAATTGTAAATTTGAATAAACCTCTTTGAAGGAAATTTGTTGTCGACGAAATCCCTTCGAAGCGAAATACGTGCCTTCTGCTATGTCACTGAATTAAACCGCATAGAATTTGTATGGGTACAAGTAAAAGTTTTTTGTAGCAATGCGCAACACCACTTTTAAAATGAGGGACGTTGAAATCTTCTATCAAGAGGGAATAAAGACAGAAACAAGAATAGGCTCCATATTATTTCTCTGGACTCCAACGACGATACTTCATCTGCATTAAGAAACAAAATATATATATATATTTAAATAACAAAATTTTTGGTTAGCGATGCTTAAATTAATTTGAAGGAATCGTTAAATATGAGAAACTATAATAAACATTAAGAAGTACATTGAAACCGGAAAAAAACCTCGAAGATATTTTCTGTCTCCAGAAGGCGGACAATTAAAACGGGAGCAGAGCAAACCTCTTGAATATTCATCGACGTGCTACAATTAAAATATTTTAATGAGCAGACGTCACGAGTTGCGATACAACAAGTTTCGCGAACGGGTTGTACAACTTCGCAAACTAAATTCCTGTTATTGTATAATTATTCAAATTCTATTTTGTTCTTCCTTTCTCTGCGGTTCGAACCCTCTATTACGTTTTCCGATCTCGTTAGTTCGCAATAAAGAATTGTATTTTGTCGGATCTCCGTATATAAGATTCGTAATATGCGTTATAACATCCGGATCGCCAGAACTTTCTTGAGATTTCTGTTGGCGGGAGACGTTCGCTTGTCATCCAAATTTCCATTCGGCTTCGGCGCTTTTCGACAAGGATACGGCACAAAACCGCCGTCGTGTGGTTGAGAAAACACTAACAGACTGTGAAATATCAAGACGGGATTCGCAAATCCAGAACTCATTCGAATTAGACGATATTCACAGAGCGTTAAGACGTTGGCTGTTCTTCAGACCGAAATTGTTCTACCGTTCCGCATTAATGTATATTTTGGTCAATTTGTCATGGGTTGCACGTGTTTATTACATGACTGTTTCTATAATGTTGAGGCCCTCAATAAAGAAATGAAAAAAAAGTCCATAAGTTCTTAACGGTATATGCTCCAACACAGAAAAGAAGTAATTTTATTACCGAATGATGCTAGCAATCTTGTTCAATACCAGAAAAGAAGAAGAAGCCTAAGTTTTTAATTAATTATCAGGTGGCTGATCTTTGTTGCTGTCCGATTCCAATATAAGTTAGAAATCGGTTCAAAAGTGTGTCATTCAATATAAAATTTTGATTTGAATATTTATTGATTGTATCGTTAAAGCACTAGTGCATATAATTTTGTGAATTGTTGTTTGTTTTATGCTGATGTCTGTGGATTTGTATTGTGCTCTGGTCGGGTGCCCGATTTCTGAGATTCACTTCGGTACTCAGGCCAAATTTAATTGAATGTACCGTGTGTGGATTGCTGGAGCCGTTTGGTGAATCGGTTGTCATTTTAAAACTTCAAGTTGATTCCACACATCTGGATGATTATGGATAATTCCATACACCTTGTTTACAATGGCATCCTTCAGAAATTTTGGGTGGTAATGCAATAGTGCTTTAAATAAAGTACTCTGATGAATCTATAATTGATTTCGACGTAGAGCAACTCATTTGGTAGTTCATGAGTTCATTATAGTAGCAAATTTCTGCTCGTTCCTTTCTTAAGCTGAATTATTCTAGTGTTAATACATTTTAAAGTAGAGGCATTCAATTGACTTTTTATTTTAAGTAGGTACGGTGATTCTATTTAGAGACGGAGAAAATCATATAAGTTGCTATATTAAATCAAAGTACCTAATATTCGAACAACCACATTTGGCCTCTAAATCACAATAGCGCTTTAACAAATATTGTTATACTCTGAGTGTATTTACCTTATTTTATCATGCCAAAAGTATGTAAGTGAACCATTAGCATACGTGTACGCCTGAGCGAGCCCGTTAGTGCCTCCTGCAGGAAGGAGCTCCAACTAACACAACATTTATTTGACTTACAAATTATGCGCGCCAACCAGCCTATTCCATCAAAAGCTCCGCACTTAGGCCCACTTCATTTCTTAATGGAATTATCGCGAAAGGAATGTTTATTTTCGTCGGTGAGCGGGCTCTTGGTTTTGCTAT